AGGTAGACGTTTGGCGATGCGAGTGGACGTTTAATTTCAAAGAAACAATCAATATCATCTTTAGTGCATTCAATAAAAGTAAAGGAAGTTCTGGGTTTCTATAGCATTAACAACATGTTCAGTCAACAATATATTGAATTTGTTAGTTTTACTCTAATAAAAAATATTTCTATAATAATAATTTTAATAAATTAAGAAGAAATTATTCAGAAGCTGAATAATATAGTAAATGACGAAACTGTTAACTTATGACGTGTTACTTTCTCACTTGGTGTACAAACGTGCGCCAAATTAAAACCCACTAGTGCTATGCGTCGCGAAATAATCTTCCGAAAATATGCGGTTTACTGATATGTTAATATATTTAAGGTACAGGTATAGGAATATACCTATGCCCATGTTAGGTATAGTAATATACCTATACCCATGTTAGGTATAGTAATATACCTATACCCATGTTAGGTATAGTAATACACCTATACCCATGTTAGGTATAGTAATATACCTATACCCATGTTAGGTATAGTAATATACCTATACCCATGTTAGGTATAGTAATATACCTATACCCATGTTAGGNCTGAGAAGTGTCGATCCTGAGAGCTCAGAGTTCTGAGAAGTGTCGATCCTGAGAGCTCAGAGTTCTGAGAAGTGTCGATCCTGAGAGCTCCGAGTTCTGAGAAGTGTCGGTCCTGAGAGCTCCGAGTTCTGAGAAGTGTCGATTCTGAGAGCTCAGAGTTCTGAGAAGTGTCGATAATGAGTCCCAGCGCACCTAAAATTCCGTGTTTGGAGCGCAGCGAAATTATAATATTTAACAAATAATATCCACATATCTCACGCACAATATTTCAGTGTCGAAAACCACTGAGCTAAGAGGTAGACGTTTGGCGATGCGAGTGGACGTTTAATTTCAAAGAAACAATCAATATCATCTTTAGTGCATTCAATAAAAGTAAAGGAAGTTCTGGGTTTCTATAGCATTAACAACATGTTCAGTCAACAATATATTGAATTTGTTAGTTTTACTCTAATAAAAAATATTTCTATAATAATAATTTTAATAAATTAAGAAGAAATTATTCAGAAGCTGAATAATATAGTAAATGACGAAACTGTTAACTTATGACGTGTTACTTTCTCACTTGGTGTACAAACGTGCGCCAAATTAAAACCCACTAGTGCTATGCGTCGCGAAATAATCTTCCGAAAATATGCGGTTTACTGATATGTTAATATATTTAAGGTACAGGTATAGGAATATACCTATGCCCATGTTAGATATAGCCTAGGAATATAAATATACCCATGTTAGGTATAGTAAAATACCTATATTAGGTTTAGACGATAGTTGTGCTGACTGTAATTCAGCACCAGGCCATACAAGCTGTACGCCTGAACACTCGTGACTGCAGGATGTCCGTCATGCTGAGTCAGCGGCACACTTCCTGCCATGCGCTTGCCAGTCGCCTGCAAGCGTGGTGCAACATGGCAGTCGCCTGCAAGCGTGGTGCAACATGGCAGTCGCCTGCAAGCGTGGTGCAACATCTGTCTCTTATACACATCTAGATGTGTATAAGAGACAGGCCTGCAAGCGTGGTGCAACATGGCAGTCGCCTGCAAGCGTGAGGCAACATGGCAGTCGCCTGCAAGCGTGGTGCAACATGGCAGTCGCCTGCAAGCGTGGTGCAACATGGCAGTCGCCTGCAAGCGTGTGGCAACATGGCAGTCGCCTGCAAGCGTGGTGCAACATGGCAGTCGCCTGCAAGCGTGCGGCAACATGGCAGTCGCCTGTAAGCGTGGTGCAACATGGTAGTCGCCTGCAAGCGTGGTGCAACATGGCAGTCGCCTGCAAGCGTGCGGCAACATGGCAGTCGCCTGCAAGCGTGGTGCAACATGGTAGTCGCCTGCAAGCGTGGTGCAACATGGCAGTCGCCTGCAAGCGTGGTGCAACATGGCAGTCGCCTGCAAGCGTGGTGCAACATGGCAGTCGCCTGCAAGCGTGGTGCAACATGGCAGTCGCCAGCAAGCGTGGTGCAACATGGCAGTCGCCTGCAAGCGTGGTGCAACATGGCAGTCGCCTGCAAGCGTGGTGCAACATGGCAGAGCAACATGGCAGTCGCCTGCAAGCGTGCGGCAACATGGCAGTCGCCTGCAAGCGTGCGGCAACATGGCAGTCGCCTGCAAGCGTGCGGCAACATGGCAGGGCTAGTGAGGTTTCTCCCAGTCTTCGGTGCTGTGCGTTTTACTTTACTCAGGAGTTACCGCTGTTATTTTCATTTTTGTAAGACTTAAATGGATTCTAGTTAGTAAGTCTTTCGTAAGTCTAGTTCTGTTCCTGAATAGTGTTGATACATAATCTCCATGGAAATCGTCAAATCGACATTGCTTTAATCTTTTTACACGTCTTCTGCTTATTGGTTTTCATTGAATTACGCATAACTCGAGTTATAATAACACCCTATGGTTTGTATAACACTAATTTCAATTCGGTATAATGTTGATTATTTTGTTTTCCAGCTCGTGACAAAATTCATGAAGTTGATGCATTATTTGAACTGCATTGTTAGTTCTAACACATTGCTGCTCCATGTGCCTGTCGTTCACGACCAAGGGTGGTTGTGTTCAAGGTCAATCCCTTATTGTTATCTTACACTACATCTTTTTTGCTCCTGTCGATGCATGTGCTGCCATGTCAAAGTTAGTCAATTTTAACTATACTGTTGTGGTAGTTATTGTTTGTAATATCGAATACCAGCAGGTATTTGTGTTGTTCCAAAATTTCGTCATCACGAATTCTATCCCGAAACTCGCTACCCCGAATCCAGCTTATGTATAATTTCGCAAGTGAAATATTGTACTTGGAGAATCGATCGTACAGACCCCACATTCAGCAAAGAATTGTGTTCAACAAATTTTCTAAGATATAAAGGAAATTTTAACTTTTATTTTAAATTAAATATACTTACCAAAGTAAAAACCTAAAATTTTTCAATTTCAAGTCTAACTCTCTATTGATTTTCTCAATTTCGCACGATTCTACCATTAACAATAAAATTACCAAAAATCAGCCCGATAAGCATCGTGGACACGCGCCCCAACACAAAACAGTCTCGGTTGTTTGCGGCGTCATCTTCAAACACTCAAACTTGACTTTCATATTTAAAATGTAATGCGTGTATTTTTTCACAAATTGTTAAGCAATTACAGGAATTTATCTACTGGTAGAATGTGGAATATGATGAGACTATCTCCATTGCAGCTACTAATGTCGTTAGTCCGAACTCCGTGAGTCATCGTGACTGATCGTTATCACATGAATAGTTATCGTATGAATAGTTATCACACGATTGCATCAACGCGCACATGAAAGCATTCGAGAGTAGGAGGAGAGATGCTGCTGCTCTCTTCCACACTCGACTCAATGCCGACAGGAAATGAGTCAACGAGAGCAACAGCTCTCAGTCCTGAAGTGAGATAAGTACCGTAGTAGAAAAGAGCAGTAGCTCCCAATCTAGAAACAGAATTTGGAGTGAGATAGAGCAGTAGCTCTGAAATACGAAATAAAATTATAATGAAAGAGAGCAGTGGTTCTCTTGATCCCGAATAGAAATTATAAGAAAGGCTCACGCTGACATCTGGCTGCATGCCTGTGCCGGGTCTCCCTTCACACAGGATAAACAAAACGCTCATAACTTCTAACAAAAACGCAGTTATTTTTCTGACCAATTCTCCAATCGCTTTTGCTTGACCCTAAAAATAACGGTGTATGGTTGGAGTGTTTCATTCCTAGTTTCGTCTTGTAGATCCTTTGTATCCCCAATCCCCCAGCGAGAACTCGAGCCTCAATTCACACCTGCTTTCGGCAATGCCTTACACTATGAGTTGATTTATCATAGTTTACTCAGTGGCCACTTATGTTCTGGGAAGTTTGCCTTAACGTGCCTATGCTATACACTATACAGACCTCGCTGCAGTGAACCTTTATCCTAGAATGAGGCCAACGCCTCGCTATATCCTGGCGACGCGGGACCGGCCAACTGCAAAAACTTGCTATGGCAGCGGCCACGAATAAACAGCCTTGAATCTGGCTTTTATCGCTGCCGTGAAATTTGCCGGCGTCCGTCAATACTGTGTGGAAGCCAGCCAAGCAAAATATGTGCTTCGACAAGATGGTCTGCATTGTTCTCGCACCTACAAATTGAAACAAATATTGACCCACTCTTTGATGTTCAAACTCTAACTTAAGCTCGTCCAACTGCAAGAACTTTAGTGTTACTGGATAACGACATTTGACGGAATGCTTTCCTTCATATGAATTCTTTTACAAAATTTTTATAACTGAAACAGCAGTAATAATACCACATTTGTTCTTGTGTTAGAACCTGCCCGTCTACACTCACTGTGCATTCCAGAACGGATGAAATGCACACCAATCGTTGGAGCGCGTTGTACGTATGTCTTGCTGCTGCTGCAGCAGTAATGAAGATTACGCTATATATTATCAAGGCTCACTCAAGTAAACATAGCCCATGATTTCTCGGCTGATGGATTTAGCTTTTTAGTCATTGGCTGACAAAATTAAGAAATCTTAACTATTTTTTATTGTACTGCTTCTGCCGGACCGCTGCTTTGCCCTGTCGGTCATGTCGGTCCTTGCCCTTTCATGGTCATGAACATTGGATAAAGTACCAAATGTAATAAACTATTTGGTATTCTTTGAGATTCTCAAACCTTTTTCTAAACATCGACGATAAAATCTCGGATTTTGACTAATTGAACTTTTGGCTCGCGGCCAACGAGACGGCAGGACATGGGCTCCGCTCCTACTCACCCTGAGCGTTCCTTCCCTCGACCAAATTATCTTTCAATGAAAATAAAACAATCATTTGTGATCTCATTCACAAATTATTACTTATTATTGTAATTATTGGTCTAAGCGCTGTCGGAGACTCTGTGTGTCATTGTCGGTCTTCACTAATTCAAGTGATTTTTCCACAGATCTGTTAATTCTTGTTAAAAGTTCACGTATACAAACTATTTACTAGCATTCTTAGTAGAATATTTCAGGTTAAAAAAATACAGAGATAATCTACCAGCAACAGCCATGCCGCCTGCGTGCCTGTACGGCCTCATCGGCTATATTATTGCAGGTGAGCGATCATTGGCCAAATTGACCATGCACAAACATGAATAAAAATGCGGAGTAATCATATCAGAAAAGGCGGACTAATAGAACAATAAATCAATTCTATGCTGAACTTTTTACATATCCTTCAAATCCCCACACAGAACCTGATATTATTTGAATTACATGCCGATTTAATTTAATTTCACTCCTTGTACGAGATTAGTGTCACTTCACTGCTCAACTTATCTTACTTTAAATCACGACAAATACTTGAGCTTCCCGTGTTACTTGCTTGGCATTTGATAACATGATAGCAGAAGCGATGTTTCGCATCCAACTTATGTTTCGTGCGAAATCATTTCTCAAATTCTAATTGGAAACTTTACTGTGCCGTGTCAGTGCTTTCAACTAAATGTAATTACTAATTAAAAAATATATCAGTACTCACTGCAAGGAGTGACAGAAAGCGCATTTTCTCGTTGCCGAGTATCATGGATACTCGGCAATGTGACGCCACTGACAGACAGACGGACGGACATGACGAGCACAATAGCGCCTTTTTTCCATAAATGAGAAAATGCGCTAAAAATATATTTCTTGTTTGATTTATCCGAAAACTCTGGCCTATCTCAGAACCGGACAATCACTTGAGCGTGCCCCTGGAGAGCGTGAACTCGAGCGTGAGTGTGCGTGGGTACGTCGCTCACATCAAGTCTACGCTCTGCTACCGCAACGACCGCAAAGACCCTCTCCAGGTCAGTGCCCTTTGTGTTACCTGACGCAGAGACTCTGCTTAATCCGAGCTCACTATAAATTAAACACATTTGCCGTTTAATGCAAAGTTGGTGTTTCACGCAGCTATAAAGCTTCACGGTAAATATAACCAAACCTTATATCTACAAAAGCATCTTTTCTGTATCAGATGTAGTCTCCTCCTTGTTGAAAGAAATTGATCATTACGATATTATAATTATAGATGTACAAGCCTTTAATGATTAGACTCCGATATGCCGTTGTAGAATGTAGAGCTTCTCCTCTGCATGCTTGTATTATTCATTTTCAAAACCTGTTTCTACGGGGAAATAATGCAACCTAATCCGATTATTTTTAATTTGGAGTTTGTTGTGTGTTATGTGATCGCTGGTGACGGGGTCGTGCGCAGGTGTTGTTCAGGACGCCTGTGGACGAGGGCAGCGCTCTGTACCACGTCGAGGCGAAGCTCGAGGATCGCGTCATCGTCGCCAAGTGCCTCGAGAAGAAGAAGGTGAAGAATTTTTCTTCCTTTTATCTCCTGTTAATTTATGTGTGATGCTATAGCCTTTATATTCAAAGAATCGAGTTCCTGACACCGCATACAAGCTCAAAGATTATGAAGGAGCGGTTGAGGCACGCCATTCAAAAAATACGTTTTTTTTCTAGAAAGATTTTGTCGAAATGTTTATCTAAAATAAATGAATTTATACGTAGTCACTTGTTTCATTTTACAATATCTGTGATTCTTTGTTGGATTTCCTTATTAATGAAGGTTATTTGCTTCCTGGTGACGTGAGCTGCAAAAATTATTCTAGGGCATCGTTTTGAAACGCACATTAGTTATTACCAGACCCGATACCTAATTTTCGCTAACGATTAATGCTATTTTTCTACTGAGCTTTGAAATAATTTTAAATCGTTGTGTTCCCGCTCGCTTCAGGCGGAGAAGGTCTACAAAGATGCCGTCGAGGCTGGCCAGACGGCGCTGCTGGTGCGGGAAGAGTCAGAAGTTGCTGACATCATCAACCTGGCTCTAGGCAACCTCCCTCCAGGTTTAAAACTATTATATATTGATTGATATAATATTGCACAGAATGAAAAGATATTTTCATCATGTTAAGAATAAGATAAGAAAGAATGTTAAAAATTCATCATAAGTAGGAATGCAGGGAAGTATAGATGGCAGATATACCGGTATACTTCCCTGTCACGAGAGCGTGAGTTTTGCTTCGTAAAGGTTTCTCTTGGGCTTAGTTTCATCCGGCGCCCAAATATATTACATCTGCATTAACATATAATACATTTACTTCTCGTTTACAGAGATTTTTTTTTTGCCTGCGACTCAACAACGAATATCTTCTCATAGAATTGAAACTTACGAAAAATTGTACATATTTTTATACGCATTTATCAAGTGATCATAATAAACCTTTGAGTTTCTTCAGCGTTAGTGCGTTCTATTAGCAGCGATCGATTAGTTGTCTGACCAAACTGTTCCAAACAGGCGCCTATTACGTACGTTACGACGTCTGTTGGGTGTACAGAGCACGTACGTTACGACGTCTGTTGGGTGTACAGAGCACGTACATTATGGACGTCTGTTGGCTGTACAGAGCACGTACGTCACGACGTCTGTTGGGTGTACAGAGCACGTACGTTACGACGTCTGTTGGGTGTACAGAGCGCGTACGTCACGACGTCTGTTGGGTGTACAGAGCGCGTACGTCACGACGTTTGTTGGCTGTACAGAGCACGTACGTCACGACGTTTGTTGACTGTACAGAGCAAGTACGTTACGACGTTTGTTGACTGTACAGAGCACGTACGTTACGACGTTTGTTGGGTGTACAGAGCACGTACGTTACGACGTTTGTTGACTGTACAGAGCACGTACGTCACGACATATGTTAACTGTACAGAGAGCTCGTGCGAGGTGACGCTGTCGCTGGTGTGTGAGCTGCGGGTGGCTACGGACGGGGGCGTGGAGTTTCGTCTGCCGTCTGTGCTCAACCCGCGCTACCAACCCGCGTCCAGCGCCGGGCCTGATGCCAACATCGAATTAGGTGAGTGCTCGTCTTCTCATACTGGTCTTCAAACCTTCCATGCTGGTCTTCTCATACTGGTCTTCAAACCTTCCATGCTGGTCTTCTCATACTGGTCTTCAAACCTTCCATGCTGGTCTTCTCATACTATCATTTCAAAATACCAGATTCTAGTGGTGTCATTAGACCTTTTTGAAGGCTTTAGCCCTCCCAAAATATATTTAAGCCCAAAATAATGCTATATTTATTTATTAAATGATTCTTTTTTCATCACGACAAAATGCCGAAAAATCCAATAGAATACTACCATAATATAAGTTTAAGTTAATAATGTCATACAACTATTCATTATTTACTTCTATAATATATGATCATAAATCTTCGGGGACTTAGCCCGGCCCCTGTCCCTGCAACTACTGACGCCTCTGCTAGATAAACAAAGTTACTGGTCTTGTTCGCTCGGATCACGTATTCGTTGTTGATATTGTTCTATTTCTAATAACTGAATCAACTTATTCCATGATGATACATTATTTTAATTCCCATTAACCACACACTCTGAACTCTGAACGCTCACTAGTCTAGAGTGCTCACGCACTAGTTAGAGTGCGCTCACTTCAGAGTGCCCACGCACTCTGAACTAGTCACGCTCACTAGTCTAGTCTATGGTCTAGTCTGACTGAGGCTAGTGTCTAGTCGCTAGTCTGACTAAGTCAGAGGCATGGTTGAAAGCATGGTCATTATACAACGTTTTTTTGTCCAGGATATTATAAACAGACAGGATAAACAGCTACCACAAGTTTTACGAACATTATTAGACCCTTGAATGTAAGCCAACTTATGAAACGTGTTTAAAATTAAATTTCGCTGGTTTCTTGGGAAATTTCATCATGCAACAGACTTGGAGTTCTCTTCAAGGATCCGAGAACTGATTAGTCGGATTCATTTATTTGTAGGCGTTCTATTCATAACATGTTCATGTGTTTATTACGTGATCGACTGCAATGAAGCTGGTCGGAGGTGCAGTGAGCTAATCTTCATTTCTAATGCATTGGTTATCTTATCGACTCTTATCGTCTATTCATTCAGCTTATCAATTCATTGCTTTGATGATCTGGTCGAGAGTTGGTTACTCCCATTAAGTATATCTTTGCCTTGTTTGTCTCATCTAAAGTTCATCCGTGCCACTAACCATCCCTCTGCATGGCTTAAGGTGCTTGTACACGGGGATAGTGCAGACGGCTAGTAGATCTGACAGTTGCCTAATCTCTGCCGCTTGTTGTCTATCCCGCAAGTAATCTTAGACACGAGGCAAGTTTAAGGTGCCGCCGTGACGGTAGCGACTAGATACCTGCACGGCGGCACCTTAAACTTGCCTCGTGTCTATGTTTACTTGCGGGATAGACACCAAGCTTCTGACATTAAATAACTGTCAGATCTACTAGCCATCTGCACTATCCCCGTGTAGAAGCACCTTTTCCCATACCATTTGCCATCTCCCTGCATGGCTAGTCTCACCAATGGCTTACCCATGCCACTAACCATCCCCACGAATGGTCTCTCCACGTCCCCGCAGACGTTAGCGCCGTGGCGCAGGCCCAGAAGCCGTACTCCATGGAGGTGTCGGCGACGGTGAGCGGCGCCCTGGACATCGCTCGCGTCCTCTCCCACTCCGACCCTATCAGCGTCACCATCGACGACGATAACAAGACCGCATCAGTTAGTTTTGTAGCTGTTCACTCGTTTCCTTATCAAGACTCCATAATCCTTATCGTGATGAAAGACTTTCAAATACTTCATAATCTTTATCGTGATAAAAGACTTTCAATGCTTATCAGCGTCACCATCGACGGCGATAACAAGACCGCATCAGTCAGTTTTGTAGCTGTTCACTCGTTTCCTTATCATGACTTCATAATCTTTATCGTGAATAATACTTTCAATGCTTGGCGCCGAGGAGTTCTGTTTCGAAAATGTTATCAAGCATTCCCTGGGATGTTTGAAAAGCAAATAAAATGCCAAATAAATTCGAGTTTTTTACGCTAATGAAACCCGTGTCGTAGATCAAAATGCGCTCATCTTCGAATATAGAAGCTCGTCTCTATTGTTTCTTGTGACGACTACGCCGTATTTTACTAAGATTTACATGATGGTCTTAATATACATGTGCATTGTCTTATCAAAGTGTGTACTGAATGATTATAATATCCATGTTTGATTACATGCATCACAATGTTTAATATAAAATTAATGCAAATGAGTTAAGGAGTGAGATGGATTGATACAGAGCAGCGAATGGGATGGCACGTTTATCTTACGCTGACGTCGTTGCCGATGTAACTTGATAGCCAGATAAGAGAGAAGAGGAGCTCCGATAAGAATGAATTCATTGAATGTTTAATGTATAGAAATTTACATTTCATATGATTTTATTTGTATTTTTTACGTTAATATGCATTTATCGTCTATACAAACAAATCTAACCTTTAGGGAAGACTTGGAAGAAAATTCCATGATCTCTTGAACAAATTATTAACGTTTGGCCAAGATGAATAGGGAGTATGAGCAAAAGTAGGAGTAAAAGTTGCAGTATGACCAGAGGGCCTAAACCTCATAATCTCTCCCTAAACCTCATACTCTAGAGAGGGATTTGGAGTATGTCTAGAGGGATTATGTCTAGAGTAGGAGTTAGAGTATGACTAGCGGGAGATTCGGAGTATGACTATAGTAGGATTTGGAGTGTGAATTAAGTAGGAGTACTAGCCATAGAAGAAGCTTTTTCAGGGTAAGAATTTTTTCCTGTTATGGCTTATAATTGGTGTTTCTCAAGCTTCAGATTTTAATGATCAAACGTCACATTTTAAATTATCTTGCAGATCAAGCAAGATGGCGGCTACAAGAGTGACCACGAGTGGGGTTTCGTGGTGCACTACAACAACCCATACCAGCCGCAGGCCATCATCGAGACCGGGGACGTGACGGCCACGGGCATCATGAAGGACCAGGTGCTCATGATCAACATGTTCCCGCAGCTCCCCGAGGCTTCATATTCCCGCTTCAATGAGGTCATCTTCGTCGTCGACCGCTCAGGTTAGAGCGACAAATTCAGGCATCGTATTGCGTAAGGTTAATGTTCCTTTTTGTTAGCCTCAGGGATTAGATTAGATAGATTCAGGCATGGTATTGCGGAAGGTTAATGTTCCTTTTTGTTAGCCTCAGGAATTAGATTAGATAAATTCAGGCATCGTATTGCGGAAGGTTAATGTTTCGTTTTGTTAGCCTCAGGGATTAGATTAGATAAATTCAGACGTCGGATTGCGAAAGTTAATGTTCCTTTTTGTTAGCCTCAGGGATTAGATTAAATAGATTAAGGATAGATAGATTAAACTAGATTAAGGATAATATAGTCGTAAAGTAAACTAGTGGTATCAGCTTTGAGGAATAAGCCATGTCGCCCTCAAGCCGATCTTTTTCCACGCTGTCATCTTGCGGATTTCGACCTAAATTTTTACGAGCAGCGGCGGGTTTCTAACCCACAACTCACTGCTCCAATCTTAGTGATCTTAACCACTTGTCCACCACGATTGTTGTTGTGCGGAAGTAGAGTAATTTGCATGCAAAGATTTTCCATCTGCTGAAAATTGATCTATTTTGTGATGATAAATGGGAGCAATGACAAAGAGCTGACTGACATAGAGCTGACTAGCATCATGACTTTTACCTCTATTGATGGAGTTTACTCATTTGCATTTCAACCAAAAATTAGAAACATTTCTACCATTGCATTTATTAATTTTTTGTTTGTTAACTCCTTTTAGGGAGCATGCAAGGCTCTAACATCCAGAGCGCCCGCGCTGTGCTGCTGCTCTTCCTTAAGAGTCTGCCGCCAGGCTGCCGCTTTAACGTCGTCTCCTTCGGGTCAACGCACTCCTTCCTCTTCAAAGAGTGGGTCGCGACTGCCATTTCTGTTCCTTTATTAAATAAAATAATTAAACCTCTGTACTATATTACATTATGCGTTATCATTTATGAAATATCCTGGTACACGTCGCATTCAGTTGCACTGTTCTTGCTATGAGCACAGAGGCAGCCGTACGTACTCGGAGGCGACTCTGGCGGAGGCGTGTACGCTGCACGCCTCCATGGAGGCCGACATGGGCGGCACGGAGGTGCTGCAACCTCTGAAGGCGATCTACAGCCAGCCTGTGGACCCTGAGTTCTCTAGACAGGTACATTATCTAGCCAGCCTGTGGACCCTGAGTTCTCTAGACAGGTACATTATCTAGCCAGCCTTTGGACCCTGAGTTCTCTAGACAGGTACAATATCTAGCCAGCCTGTGGGCCCTGAGTTCTCTAGACAGCTACATTATCTAGCCAGCCTTTGGACCCTGAGTTCTCTAGACAGGTACATTATCTAGCCAGCCTTTGGACCCCGAGTTCTCTAGACAGGTACAATATCTAGCCAGCATGTGGACCCTGAGTTCTCTAGACAGGTACATTATCTAGCCAGCCTGTGGACCCTGAGTTCTCTAGACAGGTACATTGTCTTGAGACAGAGTAGTAATTCAAAGTGCAGTTGCGTCAAGTTTTCAGGAAATATTCTTAGGATTGCAAATACTTCTATTACTGAAGCCAAGGAAAAGCTGAAAAACTTGTCTATTTATCGATGACTTAATTTATGAACTTGGCTCATGTTGCATTGTTACGTCATTCAGTGTAGTTGTGAGGTATGACGTCATCAACGTTAGATTAACATGGCTTATCTTATCGGATACTTATGCTATACTACTCATCAGTTACCTCGCGACATCCCGGATGCTGTAGGAATGTATATTATACTTAGAAGAATCGAATATGTATGCCAATAGATGTCACTGTAGATTCAGGTACTCGAGTTGCTTTCATTTGGCTGGTCCCTGCATGAATTGTTCTATAGCTCGTGACGCATTAATTTAAGGCACTCCTGTATTATTTCTATTCTCTTTCCGATTCAGGTTCTTCCTCCCTTACAATATTTTGGCTAAATTTAACGAAAAATGTTTTTTTAGAGTTTTCGAAAATTCTGCATTCATGAACGATAATTTGAAACTTTAAAACAATTTTTTTCACACCCCTTGACCCCTACACCCCTTCACTCCCACACCACCTGTCCACCTCTCCCACACCCCTNATTATTTTAATTTCATCCCCCCCAAAAAACACTTCATCTCATAAAAATTTTTAATTCGGCTTCATTTCCGGTTCATTTTTTACGTTTTTTTCTTGGGTCATTTTCCACGTGGGGTGCAGGTGATGGGGTTGGTGGCCAGCATGCTGCAGGCGAGCGTGCGGGGAGTGACCGTCTCCTGCGAGTGCGACGTGCCTACGAGGCTCTCGCTTGTGCCCCCTGAGCCGCCCGTCATCTTCGGCGGGCAGCACCTCGTCGCCTACGCCAGGATGCCGCCTGGTGCCCAGGTCAGAGGGAGGTTTAGGAGCGGGTGGCTTGTGCCCAGGTCTGACTGGGTAGATATGCCTAGGTCTGACTGGGCGGATGTGCCCAGGTCTGACTTTGGGTAGATAGGGTGATGACAGCGCCGCTTCGTCTCGCTTGATAAGAGTGATGGCAGCGCTGCTTACTCTGGCTATCGGAGTGATGGCAGGGTTGCGTGACGGCACACAATTGTGCTAATAATGATAATGACGTCTACAGCTAAAGAGCATAACGCTGAAGGGGAAGGTGGACGGTGACGAGTGGCAGTGCAGCGTGACGGAGCGCCAGATGGTGACGGTGCATGACGAACGCCTCACGCTTCATCGTCTCGCCGCCCGCGCCTTCATCCTGGACCTCTGCCTGAAGGGGGAGGGTAAGAGAGACGGCCTGGGCATTCAAGCAGTTCGCTTTTCCTTGATCGGTGGTCCTCTTGTAGTTCTGATGTTGCTGAATTTTGAATGTGGGTAGAACTTTGAACTTTCACATGGGGGCTTCGCACTAAGAGGCTGAATTTTTAGACTATATACTTCCTTTTTGAGTAAATACGGTAAGCATCACCACTACTATACTTTGTACAGTGATGCATCTCCATCGAAATATTCCGTGTATAGTACTACTACGTCTTGGAACTATACAGTGTATAGTGCTACCTTGTATTGGAACCATGCAGTGTATTGTGCTATCTCGCATGGAACTATACAGTGTATAATGATTCAAACGATCCATGACCTCACTCTAACCCTCTATGGTTAAGTCAGAACGCGTTCGAAGTAATCCATGGAGAATTGAAGGCAGTATTTTTTCTAGTTCATCTTTTTTTGTGATTGAGATAATTTGTTTTGAAGTTTTATTGTACTCATTTTGTCTGTATGAATTTTAGCTTTGCCTCAATTCTTATTAACGATTTGTAATGTACATATCCAAGGCGGATATGGATCTTATTTTTAAAGCCTTTTTTCGCTTGACAATTGCCAGCTCGTTGTCTTATACTTGTCTAATCGGACGTTCCTCAAGTTTCTCCATAGTTTTGTATTTTGTGTGGTAATTTTACTGTTTAACGAAATTTGTTATTATTGCGGCAAGCGTGATTCTTTTGATTGGATGTCAATTGCATGAAGTTTTGATGGTGTAGAACAACAAAGGTAGTGTGGAAGAGTATTTGACAACCTTCCCTTACAGATGACAATAGAGATGAAGTTATTCGACTGAGCATTGCTTCTGGTGTTCTATCCCGCTTCACTGGCCTCGTTGCCGTTGATCAAGACGTCAAGAATCGTTCGCAATTTGGACATCATTCAAAAAATTATTGTAATGCTTCTGTTATTGAATTGCGCAACACAAAAAAATTGTTTAGCTTTTCATCTGCTTCGAATCCTGGTTCAACTTTATCCCAGTGTTTTGGATCATCGCAATTCGCTGGAAACCAGTCAGGGACTATGCAACAAATTTCTGGGTTCTCGTCGCCTTTTGGAAACCAGTCAGGAATCCAGCAACCAACTTTTGGTTCCACTACGCTCTCTGGGATCCAGTCACAAGCTCAACAAACATCTTTTGGAGCATCTTCGCTCTTTGGAAACCAGTCAGGTGCCCAACAACCTACTTTTGGGTCCTCGTCGCTCCTTGGAAACCAATCAGGAATCCAGCAACCAACTTTTGGTTGTACTTCGCTCTCTGGGAACCAGTCACAAGCTCAACAAACATCTTTTGGAGCATCTTCGCTCTTTGGAAACCAGTCAGGTGCCCAACAACCATTATTTGGATCGGTCTTTGGAAACCAGTCAGGAGTCCAACAAATACCTTTCGGATCTTCTTCACTCTTTGGAAACCACTTAGGAGTTCAACAGCCAACTTTTGGGTCCACGTCGCCCTCTGGAAACCAGTCAGGAGCCCAACAACCTACTTTTGGGGCTTCGTCGCTCTTTGGAAACCAATCAGGAACTCAGCATCAAAATTTTAGATCGTCTTCGCTCTTTGGAAACCAGTCAGGTGCCCAACAACCAACTTTTGGATCCTCGTCGACCATTGAAAACCAGTCAGGAGACAAACAAATAACTTTTGGATCTTCTTCACTTTTTGGAAACCATTCAGGAGCTCAACAACCAACTATTGGATCCTCGTCGACCATTGAAAACCAGTCAGGAGACCAACAAATAACTTTCGGATCTTCTTCACTCTTTGGAAACCAGTCAGGAGCCCAACAACCTACTTTTGGGTCCTCGTCGCTCTTTGGAAACCAATCAGGAACTCAGCATCCAACTTTTGGATCTTCGTCACTTTTTAAGAACCAGTCAGGAGTCCAGCAACGTACTTTTGGATTCTCGTTGCCCTTTGAAAACCAGTCAAGAGCCCAACAACCTACTTTGGGATCTTCGCCGCAAAGCTTCGTCGAGTGTTCGAAGTTTAGATTCGGAGTTCCGCAAAGTTTGCAAGGAATCCCCAATGAATCACTTGGCCAGCTTTCACCGACCTCGCGTGCTACTCAAGCTTTTGGAACTTGCGCTCCTTCCACCCAAAGAAGCAGTGATGAACAAACTCCTGTCAAAATATCAACGCCCTTCCCTTCTACGACCAATGAGATGCCTGAGGCGGGAACATTTTCTCAATATAAATCCATGTCACTGAAGCCTAATGCAGTATCAACCTCTGCTGGCAGCCAACTGGACGAAAATTTCGTACTTGGAATAGTTCAGTGTCAAAAATTCGACGGCTCCTGGTCATTGCAAGACATTTTGGGGCTCGTGGCAGTAAAAGAAAGTGAAGCTGAACGCTTGCTCAATCAGGTAACTTTATTTACAAATATCCACCAAATATATATTATTGTTAATTGTTTTCTGGATATGAGTAATTATTTTGTTTCATTTATGTCTGTTACTTGTCAATTATAAATTCAGTTAGATAAATTCCTTTTCGTCGAAGCTTCTCGTTTATCAGTCATCTTGTGTCTGCATTGCAGAAAACGGACCCTACAGTGTTGGGAACGTCCCTTGCTATTGCTCTTCTGCTGCAATATTTCAGCAACAGAGCCGACGAGTTGAATCTCATTATAAAGAAAGGAAAAAACTTCTTGAAGAGCAAAATGGACGATGATGCAGTAGAGGCCAGCCTGGAAGAGGCCAAGACTCTGCTGGAAACGTTCGAATTCAGAACATAAGGCAGATGCCTTCCATATCTATTAGGGTGGAGCGTACACCCCCCCAATATACGCTATATAAAATAGCGTAAAATATAAAAGAAGTATGGAAAATAACACATAAATTAAAATTTTCCTGCAAATGCATCTAGCATTTCTAGAGGTCATAATGGGCAAAATAATCATAATAACATTTTTATTATATATATTTAACTTTCATAGCTCTGTACTGTCGTTATTATTGGAGGGCCGTAAGAAAATTAGAAAAAATATGAGGGTAAAGCATTATTTTAAAATTTTCTAGAGCTCTATAGTATCATCCGTCCGAAGAACTACATCCCAATTCCGCCCGAAGTACTACGTCGGTAGGTATAATGTCTCCATATGAACTTGAATGTACTGAATATTTATAGTGTCTCCATATAAACTTGAATGTACTGAATATTTATAGTGTCTCCGTATAAACTTGAATAGACTGAATATTTAGGCGATGATTGCACAGAAGGCACCCGCTTGGCTACACAAGTGTTAAATAGCCAATAATTAACATTTTTCAGAAAATTTGTCATTTCTAGAGTGACTCTTTGGCCGTTAAGGTGATAGATAATATTGAGCTCCATAAATCAAAACGTGTATCCTAGATGTTTTAATCATGGTTTCTACCGATTGCAACCCTTAAGTAACAAAATTTTATGCCTAGTAAAATTTTCATATACCATATATGCTTTACTCTCATATTGATAAAATTTTTCCGATGACCTTCAAATAGTCAAGAGATATTTGAAAATTAGAACATTCGTTCTAATTAATACGTTTTCAGGATGATTTATGCCCGTTGTGACCTCAAAAAATTGTATATGTATTTATGGGAAATTTTTAATATGATATTTTTCATATTTTTTAATTTCCAAACGACCCTCAAATCATAAAGGAATTAACTTAAAATTTTGCTACAGCGTTAATTTTGCATTCCCACAAACTTTCTGCACAATTGTGAAACCGAATTTAAAAAGTTGAATAAAACGCTCCGCCCTATATAATATCCATGGAGTGACAAGTCATGGTATGAGAACTTCGCAAACTGACGTTCATGTAAAAGTGTTTTGATTTTTCGACGATCATTCCATTATTGGCTTTTTAATTGCTAATATAAAAAATCTTAGACTATTGCCTCAATTATTGCGTGCTTCAATTGGCTCGCATGTTTCTAGTGAATTTTGAAGGTGCATTTTGTCTAGACGCGTATTGGTGCTTCAAAGATTCATTACTCATCTCATATATTATATATATTGCTTTACATATTACTTGCTTTGCTCTGAAAATATGGTGGATGATTGTTCGGTACGGTCCTAGAAAACTAAGCTGAGAGTAAAACTTTTTAATAATAATGATAGCGGTTTCAGCATTTATTACACCTTTCGCCGATTCTTAACATCACAGAACACTAATAGCTTGTTGCGGTCTCGAACACGCAACTCACTGCTTCTATTTTGCTTTGTATAACCGCCCGGCCTCCTCGCCGATCTGACCAGAATCTCACAAGGAGCTGGGATCGAACCCGCACCTCTCTGCTCTAATCCTGATACTCTGAACTTAAACCACTGGGCCACCATGCCCGGTAACCACTGGGCCACCCTGCCTTGTAACCACTGGGCCATCGTGCCCTTTAACCACTGGGCCATCGTGCCCTGTAACCACTGAGCCATCATGCCGTTCAATTAACCACTGGTCCACCATGCCCTGTAGCCACTGGACCACCCTGTCCTGTAACCACTGGGCCACCCTGCTCTGTAACCACTGGGCCACCCTGCCTTGTAACCACTAGGCCATCATGCCCTGTAACCACTGGACCATCGTGCCCTGTAACCACTGGGCCATCGTGCCCTGTAACTTTGTGTGAGATGGCCGATCAGAGACAGTTCTATACTTTTATTGAAAAACATCGTCTTCTAATTAAACGCTCCCCACCATCCGACTTGACAGTTGTTTGGATGAAGCCAACACTAGCATGCCTGTCCCCCAAACTTCTAGTAATAGTAGAATCGAATGTTATATTCTTTTATTTTGATTGCTTTAGGAAGAAAAAGCTATCGTCCAGCCATGGTCCAGTGGGTTTATTATCGAGTCTAAGTCACCAATTCAACCGGGCGTGCTATAAATTCCCGTGAGGGTCGAAGAGAGGAGTTCAGAATTACACAGCACTTCTATATAAGAAACAACCTGAAGTTGCAGTTGTATCTCTGCTTATTTGTCGCTTCTGCTCTTAATGATGTGTTCTGTACTAAGTTTGTTATTCATGCAAACTACTTTTGTTCAATACTAACATAAACCAAACACATTGCTTCGACAATACATGAATATTTTAAGGCGATATTTTATTATTCTATGGATTTTTTCATTTCTTCTAAATATAGAAGACGCGCGCGAAGCTGTGGTGGAGCTGAGCTGCGCCTCAGGAGTGCTCTCTCGCCACACGGCCTTCGTGGCGGTCGACCAGGACGGCAAGACCGTCAAGAAGCAAACNGCTTTATTTCGCGTGAACAAAAGTAGGTTATTATAGGCTGCCATTGCTATAATTGACTATACTAAACATATAAGCTTATATCACACTTTTTTATTAACGGACAAAAGCTGGCATAAACGCGATCCACCGAACCGGAAACAATCAATGCAGAAGAAACTAATATGTTCTCTTCAGCCACACCCGCTTCATTGGCGAGTAGCACTATAAGTTTCCGTTCAGTTTATGTTTCAAATATTTCGGATCTTTTAGACTTGTTGGTCTTATGGTGAGTCTAAATTCTAATTTGGTGTCACCGATTTTGTTGATTCCGGTATTTTGTCTCCGTTCTGGAACCTAAACTGTGATCGCTTCTTTTAATGAACATTCTCCTATTTTGAAGACTAAATTGTGCTTTGTGCAGAACTTACATGCGCAGCTTGTTGGTCGACCTGTTCGATGGTAAAATCGGTGAAAATGCAGTGAAAGTGATGCCGTATTTTTTATGTTGTATTTATTTTTTAGCCATCGAGTAAGGTATCTTCGCTAAGCGGCAATACTTTATGTCACTAGCATCCTCTCACTCGTATGATTACCTTTCACCACTTATCTGTGCAATGCCCTAATTTAATTCTATATATTGTTAATAAATTCCCTATTTGACGGTCGCGGTATATTTTCTGCTGGACATAAGTCTTCAAAATGAAAATATCTTGGCACCTTCGAGAATAGCAGACTATGCAGCCAATATAAAATTCAAGTTCTAAAAAGCATGGCCACATTCAAGACCCGCCCAGGCATTGCTCGCTGGGAATTAACTAATTCTGCACAGTTAGTTAGACACGCAGACATCACCTAGTCACTCGCATATAAAGTTGCGCGATACGTTGTGGCCGAGGCCTCGACCCGTAGTAATGATGCGATGGTGGGAGCGTTCTGAACTTCTGATTGCTCTGAAACTCGAACGGTGATCTTAAGTACTTTTGTCACAGATAATTTGCGGCGGCAATTCACCAGTGTAATGGCTCACCATATTGTTAATCGGATCGTTGATTCACTGCACGGGTACTCAGTATTTATCCTCTCATTACAGTAAATGGAAATTTTTAGAACATTTAGAGGATTTTATATAGTCTTTCTCCCTATTACCAGCACATGTCGAAGCTTTAGTATTTGCTAGTGGGAATTATGCTATATCACGTGTTTGGTTCATCACTTTAATCCCTGTCATCGGCTGAGACGACCAAGGTGGTGCCAGCTTAGAAGGAAATAAGCCTTGAGCCATGACTTGGAGCGACAGTACCTGAATGGCCTCAGCCGTTGCCTTACCCTAACAAAATTTAGAGGCGTGAGCGACCCTGCATTAGGGCTGCCTAGGACTTGGGGGAGGGGGCACGTAGATCAACTTCTCTATGTCTGCTTCGGCTCATGGTTCGAAAAGCAGCCTTTAATTGGGCAGCTTGCTAGCTCGTTATGACTCGGCACGGCCAACCCTTATTATTCTACTAGGCGATTATAAAGTCGGAAAGGAGATTCTGACCCGAAACTGATTCGATCGGGTGGCCTATCACACGCAGAATAACTTTGCGCCAACTGTAGTGACTATTCGGCCGAAGCCTAGGCGGTCCCCTAATTTTGTTAAGGTACATTTGCAGAACTGCTTGCGTTGTACATGCGTGAGCATTGTATCAAAACGGTGTTTCAATTTCTTATTGTTAGAACCTTGGCCAGCCTTGAAAATGTTGTTTCATGATAAATGAATTATGACTACATTATTAATGTTATTATTTGATGAAATAACCGGGATAATGTGCTAATGCTTCACGCGCCTTCTTCGTGCCCATGTCATTTGTAGATTCTTGCACAGGTATTTAGTGAGTGTTTCTATCATATGTTGTTTAATCAAGTGTAAATAATAATACTGTTGTTGTTATGTCATGACGCTAAAGCTAAATCCCTCTTTCTCGCTATCGTCAAAATGGCTGTCGATGATCGACACAGAAGTGTCAAGCAGCTCATCCATTATAGGAAGGTTTGAGCTAAAGCTAAATCCCTTTTTCTCGCTATCGTCAAAATGGCTGTCGATGATCGACACAGAAGTGTCAAGCAGCTCATCCATTATAGGAAGGTTTGAATGACCATTAACGCTTGCACTCTCCGTTGCTTCACCGCGTTTTGGTGTCAAAAATTATACATCAAATTACTCGTATCATGTCATTTTCGCACGCCCAGTGTTGACGTGCGAGCCTCCAAGCTAAAATCTTCGCTGATTTCTGAAATCATTAATTTTGCTCAGAGGAAGACAGCGTGTCAACCAAGACCGGCCGTACAGTATCCTGGCTATACAGTCAGTATTAATGCTAGCGAGCAGTGAACGCTAAGCATTATCATTGGTCCTCGAGTTCCTCTATAACCTGTGATCGTGTGTGTTAAGGGCTTTTGGTAGTTCGTTTTGGTTCAGTGCCGAATATTTAATGCCTCTGCTGACAAGATTTTAAAATGCAACGTGAGTTCTATAACCCCTATATTTATGTATACTTTATTGTATTGGATAAATATATGCTTCTTGCACCACTGCGTTTATTAACCGCCTTGCACCAACAACCAGGAATTATTCAAACTTTACATTTTTACTTATTCCTGCATAGTCTTTTTGTATATAAAATTACATCGCCAAGTTAGCTCTGACACTTCATCGACGTCAACAATCAAAGAATCAAAGATCAAGCAACCGCGTGACCAGTTTTCTTGAGTTCAAATATTTTCCATTCATGATGTTGCGAGCCAGCGTCATACAATTTTTTCGCGAGCCTTTTCTATTTTATTTTATACTTTCGAATTCTTCTATGCATTTATTTTGCCAAGGAAGTACAGTGACGGTGGTTTATGGGATTAATTATGTAAGAGTTTGTCACGGTGTTCATATTTCTATTGAATTTCTCTGAACGATTTGTTGAGTGCATATTTGTGCATATTTCATTTGAAAATATCGTTCGTGAAGGTTGTCATCTTCTAGTTCATAGTGATTCAAAACAGCATTTATGGTCTTGTATAGAACATAGATGCGTCAGTCGTGACCAAGTGAAGTGATTTTATGTTCAACTTATTCTCGAAAAATATCCCAGTTGAGCACCTAAAGTTTAAAATTCCATTCTAAACTTTGTGTATGAGTATTTATTATTATATGGAACATTTCACTTATCTGCTCAGAAGACGCGCGCGAGGGACACCACCTCGACTCGACGCGGAGTCCTCACGAGAGAGCGGTGTGCCGGAAGCACCGCCAGCTGGTCCTGCCGTTCTGGCAGTTCGTTCTTCCCGCGCCTCCGGTGCGGCAGAAGCGCTGCGGTGCTTTGGGCCGCGTGAGGTACATGCCTCAGAGCCTTGCCTGTGCACAGATGATGAAGCCAGGTAGTGTTCAGAAGATGATGCAAGGAGGAGGGCGTGGGCCAACGCTATTTGCTTGCTCCGCAGCGGCACCGTCCCTTAAAAAGAGGGCGTATAAAAAAGCAATGGCGGACGACGCAGCTTTTGAGGAAGATGACGACCGTTGCGGTGTATCGAATTTAAACGAAGAGGAAAAAGTTGACGCCGAAGGAACTGACGCGCCGAAGGAAAAGATTTTATCTCAAATTATTAGCCAACAAAAGTTCGATGGGTCCTGGATGACTGATGACATAGCGTCCATTCTCCAGATGGCTTCAGGAGATATTCATGATGACGTACAAGTAAGTTTTTTTTACAATGAATGTATGATTTGAGTGCAGTCCCTCGAGTTAGAGCTTCAGGTGCTGGAAATTTATCTGCTGGAATCCTGGAATTCTTCTGCAGACTAGGTTCTACTTTCATTTTTGACTTTCCCTTGATTACTTTTTGCTTTAGGCATTTTAATTCAAATTCAGGCATTAATCGCTGATGACTGATATTTCTTCAAAAAACGGCATTAGGCCATGTGTTAAACAAAATTTTTCGATCCCAAATCGATAATCAAATTTGTTATTATTTTTCAGTCCTCCGTCCTGATGACGGCGCTGGTGGTCGTGCTGCTGCAGGAGTGTTACAGCGACCGCGCTCCTGAGTGGGGCTTGCTGGTCACCAAAGCCAAGAACTTCCTGAAGCAGGGATCTGCTGGGGACATCGACGAGACCCTGAAGGCTGCCAAGGACCGACTTGATGCCCTGCGCGCCAAGTATCCTGGCCACGCTGTCTTTACGTAGGGAATTAGCGTAGAGGACCGAAGACGCCGGCCTCAGCTGGTGTCCGGTAGCGGATTAATTTCCTGCTGGCTTTAATAATTCATTAATTGTGCTTGCTAATTGGTTAGTCACGGAATACGTTCACGGAAATCTAAAAATAAAAATTGTTCTTAGTTACTACGTGTGTCAAAAATTTTGTTTATGGCATGAACAGGAAGAAGAATTACTTCCAATTGAAAATATCGAACCTCATATTCTGATAGCAAAATGTATAATCGATCCATCAATCCGTCGACCCCAGTAAATAACAGGTCCCATCAGTGCATAGATAATTTTTAATTCAACAGGGTTTCTGTAGCTATCATTTCAACATTAAACATATATATGCTTCAATTTTAAGTCTCATTGTTTGCCCTCTAAAAATTTTTTGCTATAATTTAGCGGAACACCATCGACCTTCTGACCAGTTTGAAACAAGACCAGTCTGTTTCTGCTTTATTTCGCGTGAAGAAAAGCAGGCTGTTATTATAGGCTGCTATTGATATAATGGCTATATTATACAAATAAGCTTATTTCACCCCTTTTATTAGCTAACTAAACCTGCAGCATAAACGCAATCTGCAAACCGGAAAAAAGTAATGCAGAAGAAACTAATATGTCCTCTTCCGGCACACCCGCTTCATTGGCAAGTAACACTATAGGTTTACGTTCATTTCACGTTTCAAAAATTTCGGATCTTTTAGACTTGTTGGTGCCATGGTGAGTCTAAATTCTAATTTGGTGTCACCGATTTAGTTGATTCCGGTATTTTGTCTCCGTTCTGAAACTTAAACTGTGATCGCTTCTTTGAATGAACATTCTCCTATTTTGAAGACTAAATTGTGCCTTGTGCAGAACTTACATGCGCAGCTGGTTGGTCGACCTGGTCGATGATGAAATCGATGACAATGCAGTGAAAGTGATGCTATATTTTTTGTTGATTTTACGTTGTATTTATTTTTTAGCCATCGAGTTATGTATGTTCGCTAAGCGGCGATACTTGCAGTCACTAGCATCACCACCTACCCGCGCAATGATTTAATTTAATTCTAGATGTTGTTTGTAAATTCCCTATTTGACTGTCGCGGTATATTTTCTGCTGGAAATGCGGCTTCGCAAAGAAAATATCTAGACGCTTCCGCCAATAGCAGGCTCTGCAATGCCTTGCACCTTACGGACCAGGCAATAAGTCCAGCAGCTATCTCAATCAATTGTCAGCTATGGAAAGATCGGGTTCCAAATGCCGGATCCCTTGTGAATCAAGTCACAAAAAGTACAAGAATCGGCAACAGGCCATGCGGCCTATTTTTTCGGTGCCGACACTTCTATTCTATTCTAATAGTAGATTAGTAGGCTCTGCAGGCAATACCAAATTCAAGTTCTAAAAAAACATAACCACATTCAAGACCATGACCAACGAGCAACGCCTGCATGGCCATGCAGGCGTTACTCGCAGTGAATTAACTAATTTTGGCGCATGCACAGTTAGTTCGACACACAGACATTACCTCGTCACTTGCAGATAAAGTTGGGCGATGCGTTGTGGCAAAGCCTGCATGGACTCGTGGTAAGGATGCGCTAGTGGGAGCGTTCCGATTGCTCTGAAACTGGAACGGTGATTGTAAGTTCTTTTATCACAGATAATTCTCGGCGGCAATTCACCACTGTAATGGCTCACCGAATTGTTAATCGGCTAGTTGATTCACTGAGCCGGTTTCAGTGTCTTGCCTCTCATTACAGTGAACGAATTTTTTTTAGAACATTTAGAGAATTTTATATAGTCTTTCTCACCACTACTAGAACCTGCCAGAGCTTAAGTATTTGCAGCTGGGAATTATGCTATATCACGTGTTTGGTTATCACTTTAATCCCTGTCATCGGCTGAGACGACCAAGATGGTGCCAGCGGAGAAGTGAAGCACTAAGCCATGACTTGGTACCTGAGTGGCCTCAGCCGTTGCCTTACCCTTACAAAATTTTGAGGCGTGAGCGACCCTGCATTAGGGCTGCCTAAGACTAGGAGGGCACGTAAATCAGCTTCTCTATGTCCGCTTTGGCTTAAGGTTTCCGCTCTGGGCAGCTTGCTAGCTCAGTATGACTCGGCCCGACCAACCCTTGTCATACTTTCAGGCGACGATAAAGTCGGAAAGAAGATTCTGATCAGAAAACGATTTCGATCGGTGGCCTATCAGACCCAGAATATCTTTACGCCGAGTGTAGTGACTATTCGGCCGTAGCCTAGGCGGTCCCCGAATTTTGTTAGGGTTCATATGCAGAACTGCTTGCGCTCTACATGCGTGAGCATTGCAAACCTGTGTCTCAATTTGTTCATTGTTAGAAACTTGGCCAGCCTTAGAAATGTTGTTTCATGATAATTGAATAATGACTACATTATTAATATTGGATAAAGTAACTGGGATTCTTTACTAATGCCTCACGCGCCTTCTTCGTGCCCATGTAATTTGCAGATTCTTGCTCAGGAATTTTGTAAGTTTCTTTCTCATATGTTGTTTAATCAAGTGTAATTAGTAATAATGTTGTTATGTCATATTGCTAAAGCTAATTTCCTGTTTCTCGCTACCGTCAAAAAAGCCATGATAGTCGACACAGAAGTGTTGAGCAGCTCATCCATTAACAAGGCTTGGATGACCGTTAAGGCTTGCACTCTCTTTGATTCACCTCGTTATGGTGGCCGATATAATACATAAAATTACTCTTATCAAGTCATTTTCGCACGCCCAGTGTTGACTTACGAGCCTCCAAGCTAAAATCTTCGCTGATTCCTGAAATCATTAATTCTACTCAGAGGCAGACAGCGCGTCAACCAAGACCTGCCGTACAGTATCCTGGCTACAGTCAGTATTAATGCTAGCGAGCCGTGAACGCTAAGCATTATCATTGATCCTCGAGTTCCTCTATAACCTGTGATCGTGTGTGTTAAGGGCTTTTGGTAGATCATTTTATGTTCATGAGGTTTTTAAAAATATATTTAAAAGGAAACTGAAAATCATTGTCTACTTTTACAGATTTTAACTCATTTTGTGCGCTTGTTTCTCCATATACTTTTCACCGCCATTATTTCTGTTTTCAGTGCTGAATATTTAATGCCTCTTTTGGCAAGGTTTTTAAAATGCAACTTGAGTTCTATAACCCCTATTTTTATGTATACTTTATTGTATTGGATAAATATATGCTTCTTGCACCACTGCGTTTATTAATCACCTTGTACCAACAACCATGAGGTTATTCAAACTTTTCATTTTTACTTATTCCTGCAGTCTTTTTGTGTATGAAATTACATCGCCAAGTTAGCTCTGACAGTTCGCCGTCGTCAGCACCGAAGAACCAAAGATCAAGCGTACCCGTGACCAATTTTATTGAGTTTAAATTTGTCCCATTCATAAGCTTGTGAGCTAATGTCATATGATTTTTTCGTGGGTCTTTTCTGTTTTATTTTAAGCTGTCGAATTCTTCTGCGAGTTTATTATGCCAAGGAAGTACAGTGACGGTGGCTTATGGGAATTCTGTGAGAGTTTGTCACGGTGTTCACGTTCATATCGAATCTCTCTGGAAGATTTCTTGGGTGTTTATGACGACGTTGGTGTTTGTGAAATAATAATAAACTTTGGTATATTGGTTGAGCTTAAAACCAATGGCATACTCTTCTCTGCGGTGTCAAAACATTCATGTTTTAAAAATGCATCGAGCGTTCATAATATAATTTTCGTAAGTTTTACCATCCTGTCCCTACAACTTCAAATAGTTGACAATTCCTTCAGCCCAGCATTTGCAAACTGAGCATTCAAGCGTCGCTCTCGTTAATTCTGTCATCGTGGCATTTCCTTTCACATTTTGCTTGTTGTTTCAGCCTCGGTACGCCCAGATTCTTCTCGCAAAGAGGTTCCCGCGAACAACAAAATAATTGAGCATACTTCATTTTGAAAAATATCGTTCGTGAAAGTAGTCTATCTTCTAATTCAAAGTGTTTCCAAAGTGCATTTATGGTCTTGCATAGAACGTATATAAGTGTCAGTCGTGACCAAATGAAGTGATTTTCTTCCACTTATTCTGGGAAAATATTCCCGTTGAGCGCCTGAAGTTTAAAATTCCATTCTAAACTTTGTGTGTGAGTATTTATTATTATATGGAACATTTCACTTCACGTCGCTGTGCCAGACCTGCTGCCACTCGCAATTTGGTTCCAATGTGTGACAACGGTACGAACTGAACAGTTCACTGAGTTCCTATGATATTAGATAATAGTTTTGCAGCGTTTAAATGCAATAAAACGGGTCTGAACTATAGGGTTAATGAATTTTTTTGGCTCCATCAAGGTTGATTTCTGACCTAAAAATACCTGCATGATATTAAACCAGCCTTATTCTTGAAAGCGCATATTGAATCATGAACTTGATTGAAGAGTTAAGAGAATAGACGACAGATAAGACTCCTTGCAATTTTCCCTTATTGGTCTCCGTTGTTGGCGACTGCCATGTAAGCAACCTGTCATGCGAGTCTTGTAGTTTGTCACGGCTTTACACTATTAGAAAAAAAACGGTGAAAAAACGGTCCCACTGGCGTTCTAGTGGCCGGTCGCCCCGTAAAAAAAACTGTTTCGCCGTTTTTGTCAGATGTTTTACGGATTTATAGTGTTAAATTAGGATAAAAAGAGGACAAGGTGTTTCTTTTCACGTGCCGACCGGCCACTGGAACGTCGATTATAGCGTTAACGGTAATTTTTATAACAGTGCACTAGATTAGGAGCAACATCTTTCGCTTTCTGGTCCTTTGAACGCCGTTTTCAGCTGGTTAATTCTTTCTTAATTCGAAAAAATTTTAACTTAATTCGAACTTTGGCACCTAAATATCATAAAACTTAGTATATTAATAAAGCCGAGTATTATTAACTTGACTCAAGCATTGGAGAGAAATAAATGAGCAATTGAAGAAATACTTCAGCAACAAGGGGAAAACTTTGAACTTTGCTTTTATCTGTAGCTGAAGGGGTTTTTACCTTACAGGCCCTTCGCCGTACGTACAATCCCCGACAAAGGTCAAGGCACGTACTTTCACGCCGATGGCAAGAAACTGCAGCGACAAAATTAGGAGCGATTCGGGGTTCTGTAAAGCTCTGCTAACTCCAGAGAGTTCAGAGCCTACATCGCACCATCTATGGAAGAGTTCAAAGTTTTCAGAGCTCTGTCTTGGGGAGAGTCCAGTGATTCCGTGCTCTCTTCGGATAAGTCCAGAGCCTTGTCTCCGAACTGAAGAAAAAATTGCCTCTGGAACGGCTAAGGTGTCCAAGGAGAGTATCTTCTCTCAAATCATTGCTCAACAGAAGTTCGACGGTTCCTGGCTACTGGAAGACTTGGCAAAGATTCTCGAGTTAGCTCCAACGGATCTCCTGCAGGACCACGAATTACAAGTAGGAATGCGGAAACATTTCGGTAGGTATTGCACCGTTCTTGGTTCTTGGGCAATTCGAGCTGGTAATTTTTTGATTGTGCGTCCAAAAAAATAAGTAAGAAATCATATACTTTCAATTATTTCCTAATGAAAAAATCCAATATATATATATATAATATATTATTGGGAATATTATCTATATTCCCACTATAATGGGAATATATACAATATTCCCAATAAGTGTTGAGCCTTGTTCATCAGTCGGCTGGCGTCTGCTCGTTGGTGACGGCGCTGGTGGTCGTGCTGCTGCAGGAGTGTTACAGCGACCGCGCTCCTGAGTGGGGCTTGCTGGTCACCAAAGCCAAGAACTTCCTGACGCGCGAAGCTGTGGTGGAGCTGAGCTGCGCCTCAGGAGTGCTCTCTCGCCACACGGCCTTCGTGGCGGTCGACCAGGACGGCAAGACCGTCAAGAAGCAAACCGCGCCTCCGGTGCAGCTTGAGCGCTGCGGCGCTTTGGGCGGCGTGAGGTACCAGCCTCAGAGCCTTGCTTGTGCACAGATGAAGATGCCAGCCAGTGCCCAGCAGAATATGATGCCAATGCGAATGGCAAGAGGAATGTGTGGGCCACCGCAAGTTGCTTGCTTCGCAGCGGCACCGGCCTGTGACATGATGGTGTGTGAAGATGCGATGGCGGATGACGCAGCTTTTGAGGAAGATGACGACGAGTGCGATGGATTTGATAGCGCTGTCCCGTGCCAGCTGTCAGGAGGACGAGCCGCACCGTCTCTTGCCAAATTCCATGGCGATGCATCGAATTTAAACGAAGAGGAAGAACTTGACGCCGAAGGAACTGAAGCGCCGAAGGAAAAGATTTTATCTCAAATTATTGGTCAACAAAAGTTCGATGGGTCCTGGTTGACCGATGACATAGCGTCCATTCTCCAGATGGCTTCAGGCGATCTTCAAGATGACGCACAAGTGAGTTTTTTTTACAATGAATTAACGATTTGAGTGCAATCCCTTCTGTTAGAGCTTTGGGGGCTGAAAATTTATCTTCCGGAGTTCTTTTCCAGACAGGGTTCTACTTTCATTCATGACATCCCCATGATTACTTTTAGCTTTAGGCATTTTAATTCAAATTCAGGCATTAATCGCTGATGCTTGATATTTCTTCTTGAATAAGTGTTGAACGAAATTCTTCGATCCCAAATCGATAACCAAATTTTGTATTCTTTTTCAGTCCTCCCTCCTGGTGACGGCGCTGGTGGTCGTGCTGCTGCAGGAGTGTTACAGCGACCGCGCTCCTGAGTGGGGCTTGCTGGTCACCAAAGCCAAGAACTTCCTGAAGCAGGGATCTGCTGGGGACATCGACGAGACCCTGAAGGCTGCCAAGGACCGACTTGATGCTCTGCGTGCCAAGTATTCTGGCCACGCTGTCTTTACGTAGGGAATCTTTACGTACTAGGAGCCCCCAGTACGTAAAGGACTGCAGTAGAGGCCCTGAGAGGAGACATGGGTTGGAGTACCTTCAAGGAAAGAAGAATGAGAGCAGTTTTGAGGTATAAAGTGAGACTGGAGCGAATGGATGATGAACGTTGGGCTCGAAAGATGTATATGTGGAACATGAAGGTGAGCAAATGGGCACGCAGATGTCGGGCAGTGGTGCGTAAGTGTGGCATGCATATGAAGCATGGGTGCGCCAATGGCCCGCTGGGCCAAAGGACGAATGGGTGGTGGCAGTACGGGGTGCGGTTGGGATAGAGTGGGATGAAAAAGAGTGGAAAAGAGAAATAAATGAGCGAGTGAAAGACTATGGGCTGAAGGTATGGAAGCAAGGAATGGAGGGAAAGGACTATCTAAGACTGTATCAGATGAAAGCGATGCCAAAATATGAATGTATGTATGATGGTAGTAGAGGTGGGGGGGGACCTTCTGTTTTGTGTTAGGGCAGGCGCGCTAGGTGTGAATGGACGTACATACAGGTGGAATGAAAGGAGAGAAGATAAATGTTCTATGTGTGATGGGGATGAGAAGGAAACTGTAGAGCACTTGTTGATGGAATGTGGGGCGTATGAGAGAGAGCGTCAATCTATGATTGAGGTGATTCTGAATGAGAGAGGTGAGACTAACGAGGTGGGGCATGAGAGAACAAGCGAAGAGTGGATGGCAATAATTACGGGTCTGTCTGAGGGAGCAACTACGGCTATGTTTGAGAGTGTGAAGAGATATTTGGAAAACGTGTGGAGGATGAGGGAGAGGAGGAGGATGATATGAGTGGAGTCTTGATGAATGAAGGGTTGTGAGAGGGGAGGGTAGGAAGACATATATGACCGTGCCGAATTGTTTTAGCACGTTGTTTTACTTCTTTGGGATTGTCAAATTTTTATATTTTTTCTTAGGACAGCTGTGAATATGGTATATTTGAACTTTTTTGTTAACATAAGAGTGTGAACTTTTAATTTTTTCGATGCTAGTAAAAGTTTTTAGGCAGCGTGTATGACCGATTTAAAGGTCGTGACCGTAGGTCACCACGCACCCCAATTCCAATTCCATTAGCGTAGAGGACCGAAGACGCGAGCCTCAGCTGGTGTCCGAAAGCGGCTATTGTTCCATTGTACGCCGCGATTGGCAGTTGGTTACCATCATGTTAAATGAAAAAGAAAACAATGATGGTATGAAACACGATTTAATTGATTTGCGTGTTAATCGTCTTCATCATACAGCGGAGTGAACAATAAATCTTACATTTGCATGAAGTCTGTTTCTGGTTTATTGTTATTACGTATTTTATATTTACTTTCATTCAGATTTTCTTTCCACTTCTACAAATAATTTATGTAGTACAGTATTTGCCTCCAAACTCCGTTTACCTTGGATTTATCGTAGAACTGCTATCGCTATATTTGCACACTCCAATCAATGAGCCATCGGTCGGGTATGTTTTAACCGCAGATAATACATCGTCTATGAGTGCCTTTGACGGGACTAACAGAGAATATAAATATGAAATATAAGTACGAAGCTGGATAAACAAATTTTAAAATTCGCATATGTATTCCTCAAATATGAATGATAATGCCGTTTAAATTGGTGTGAAGAAAGCATGATTTGGGTTGGTAACTTTTTTCCGTATAAATTTTCTCAGCGATATTAGTATTTCTAACGAGTAGAACAGAGATAAAGTCGAACATATTGAATGAATTTGGGATCGTTCGGCATACTTAAATCTTTTTTCCCGATCCATTTATTTTATAATTTTGTCTCACAACCTCTTTCACGTCTGTTCTCTTTCTTGTTTTATATTTTTATAGATTATAAATGTTATTTTGTTTTGCTTCGTATATTCGCTTATTGAAATGATTTTACTTGTTGGATTTGGAAGCTCTTCCGTAAGTTGAAATAAATATACTTCAAAATAAATGCGTTTGAATATCGACGTGGATATTTTTCATCTCGATTTTATTTAATTGACAATATCGGGTGGAAATAATTTTTAATAATATATCGGTGTCAGCTTAGAAGATTAGGTGATTATGACTCTCGCCAATTCTGAACATCATAGTATTTTTCACAGCATGCTGCAGGTCTCAAATCCGCAATTCACTGCACTAATATTCACTGTAATGAGTTTGTTCAACCGCCAGGTATGACCGGCCACATTGTCGTTTTAGAAAAATAACTTTTCACAGTTGGCTGCTGCCATCAAACCCACAAATCCCTGCTCCAAATTTGATTCAATAAATTTCAACCAATTGATCATCCTACCGGTTGCCCTGACATAAACTTATTAAACCATTATTTTTTGTACACCATCGCTTCATACAGTTAGTTATTGAATGAATTCCATAATTCCACCAATAGATGAAATATTGAAATCTTTCACACCGATGTGTCTAGAAAACTTTTGTATTCAACGTTCTTAACAAATTAAATGAGCTCAAGGAGTGAGATTTCATAATGTTTTCAAGCCAAACAAACTTGCAATCGTTTTCGAATTTCAGTTGTAGCGGATATATAAGTCAACATCTCCGTCTCGTACAGTCGGAACTCTGGAGTTCGGAAGTGGGAACCAATAAACCAATGTCTGAGGCGTGAAGGAATGCTGCCCGCCGCTGGGAGAGAAGAGTCACTTGACCGTTGTCGAAAGAGAACGTAAGAGAAAGTGAGTTGAGTTCACTGCGAAAACACGTGGGTCATTTGTGCGCTCTTAAAAGCAGAGAATTGTTCTCAAAGGTTTTGCATTTCATTGAAATATTCCTTTTTTCAAAGTTGATTCATTGTTATAAGGAACACTGTAACAGTAACACAACTGTCTGCCTTGCTGAAGTTATTTCTATTCTTGAACATTGAACAGGATATGGTAATAATGGTATTAATTTTAAAGATTTTAGTATCAATTAAAATTTAAAAGCTCTTTTTCTAGACTATAGGAATTATAGGATTAGGACTAAAATGAAACATTTTGGTCAAAGTTTTGACTTTGAGTTCAGCTGCTAATGCTGGTGGGAGACTGGGAGAGGTGCAAGTGTGACTAATAAGAATTAATAGTAGGTATCATAGTGACAAACCAGAGATTTTTTAGAATCAGTTCATTTTTAACTTACTCATTTACCCAAGATTTAAACCAATTTCTTATGTATGATAAGGCTGGTATCCAGGATACTTTACTGGTCTACTTATGGGACTCAAAAATGAACTTGAGGGTGAGTATAAAAAACTCCCTGCTTTGCCACTATGGTAGGTATAACAGTGGTCAGTGGTCAGTGTCCAAATCACCAAATGTAGCATCAAATATCAATAGGCTAATATATGTACATGTTTGTTATTGTTTTGGCTGAAAATGAGTAGCTATTACATCTGAAATTTGCTCCATTTATAGTAGGCAGAGTTAGATTTGGGACTTGGCCACTATGCAGAGGGTGGAACCGTGGATGCAGCGTCGCCAATATATGGATTTTTAAGCCCAAAGCGTCGCCGGCCATTTTAAAGATGCGTCGCCGGATAATTTTTAATGAAAAGCCTTTTACGCTGAGTAATGATGAACTATTTACAAGCCACAAACTTATTTACAAGGTTGCATGCACGTGTTACCTCAAATAACTAATTTTACTCTAAAAACAGTCCGATTGTACAGCAAGTGTCAACTGAACATGTAAAACATTTTGGTCAAAGTTTTGACTTTGAGTTCAGCTGCTAATGCTGGTGGGAGACTGGGAGAAGATGGGTGCAAGTGTGACTAATAAGAATTAATAGTAGGTATCATAGTGACAAACCAGAGATTTTTTAGAATCAGTTCATTTTTAACTTACTCATTTACCCAAGATTTAAACCAATTTCTTATGTATGATAAGGCTGGTATCCAGGATACTTTACTGGTCTACTTATGGGACTCAAAAATGAACTTGAGGGTGAGTATAAAAAACTCCCTGCTTTGCCACTATGGTAGGTATAACAGTGGTCAGTGGTCAGTGTCCAAATCACCAAATGTAGCATCAAATATCAATAGGCTAATATATGTACATGTTTGTTATTGTTTTGGCTGAAAATGAGTAGCTATTACATCTGAAATTTGCTCCATTTATAGAAGGCAGAGTTAGATTTGGGACTTGGTCACAGCCTCACAGGGCAGCAGGAGCCAGGAGGGTGGAGGCACAGCCCACAGGCCTCTGGGCAGAGTGGAAATCTAAGATTAGAGGTTCACTTAAAAAAAAGTGTTCTGCCTTAAAAAAACGTTCCAGGCAAGTGGCAACTAGAAACAGGTTTGCAGGTCGCACGGTGCAATTACATATCAATTTTAAATTACCTTGGTAATTTGAGTTTTGTGAATGCCAAACTTAAATTAGAGGAGCGGCTTGCAGTCGCAGCCTCCTTCAGACAACCTCCCACGCTGACAGTCTAGATAACACTGCCTGCAGCAGTGCAGCTGCCAGCTGCGCAATGAAGATTGCACTCACAGCAGTGTTCGTGNATATTTTCACCCTATCGTTGTATGTGCCATGACTATTTAGATTGATTGACACATTATTTTGTTGCAGAATGGCAGCCAATAATCAATATACATAGGAGATAAATGTATGTTTTGAAAGCGAAAATATTAATATATATTTAAGGCTTGCTACTGAATTTAAGGCTTTCAACCCTTTTAACGCGTGCAGAATTTTTTTAAGTGTTGTCTACCTTATTGTCCTTTGTTTATAGTCCGTTACATCTATAGTCCGCGACTGGTGCGTAATTAATTCACCTAACAGTTGTGAAGTGTGTTGATTGCTAAGTGCTGTTCAGCCTGTTATTACTCCGAATAAATATTCAATGTTCATTGTTGTTTGTGTTCAGGTATATTTTCAATCCATGTACTCTAGAAAAAACATTTTATACATTTTTTATTGTTCAACTTATGATGATCAGCACTACTCCTTATTTTCATTTGATTAACACAGGTGCAATGTTACTTATTACATTCAACTTCATATCATTTCATCTCGCTCTTTTGCATGAAAAATCATTGTTGTTACCAGAAATATATCCTTTTAACCCTTTAGCAGGCAAGCATTGAAATATCCAGAAATTAAAATTTCAGAAATCATTTCAAGAAAGTAAGAAGTGTTATACAATATAGTATTTATCTATATGAATTTTTGCAAATTTTGCCTATTGAAGGTTTAAATTGCACTTGAAGAATTCAATAAATGTGATCAGTACACAAAATTTTTCTTTATAATTAAAATTCAGTTTATGCAAATGAAAAATTAGAAACATAAAAATTTAATTTAATTAAATTTAATCAAGTTGCCAAAATAAATAAATATATATATTGATACTTCCAAATTTTGAAGAAAATGGGGAAAGAGCGTCAATCCCATTGTCCAAGTCAAAACCTTCATTTACATGCTCATATTTCAATTTGTAGACTTTGCAGCTGGTGATGCTATAGATAGAACGATGGTCAGATAATTAGGGATTGACTGAGGCATTATAAAAATGCCTCAAAAACAAACAGGAAGCCGTGGTGAGGCTTTTTGTGACGCGATTTCAAGTGATCATATATGGTAACTTGCCCGTGAAAGGGTTAAAGTGAGAGTTTTCAGGAACAACTTCTTGATATTCCAATATTTGCTTGCGCGCATTACCAGCCGCTTGTCGATGCTCGAGGAGATCGGTGCTCGTAACTGCGGTCTTCATATCCTCTACAGACCTCAGCGCTTCTTTGATGACTTTTACGCCACCGGCACCCCATCCCAAAAAACCGGACTGCCAAGAGGAGGTAGAAGGACACAGATAGCAATGTGCGCTTCGGGCTATCTAGCACTGCGTCGTTCACGCTGTCTTGTACGTTGTACGTTGTTCATGCTGTCTTGATGTGCCATCACACAAGACGTGAAATACCAAGAAGAGATAGCATAATGTCACCCACGTTTTTTTAACGGTGTACCAACTGACGCGATATGGTACCAGGAAACCAATGTTATAGTTTTGCATGTTCCGGCTCTCCAGAAAGTAATAGTATCATATAAGCCTCGTTTTTTCAATGCTATTATGCAATCTTTTCAATAGGATGGGGTGTTGCTGCTCCGCCGTGCCTTCTTCTTGAACGAAAATTTTATCAATGCAAATCTTTTTAAATGATAAACCGAAAAAGCTTTCTTAAGTGTCAGCGCATGACGCTACTCAGGTTTACCTTCTGGTATGCCTCTTCGAAAATGTCAATATCCTGTTCAAACTTCCGTTGAACACGTTATAAATTATTGCACTCACTATTAGACTAGCACGTGTCATCGTACGTTAATTGTATTTATGAGTACGCAACCTAAACCGAGATGACTCACGTCAGTCACGTGGTTCTGTGATAATGTTTTAGAATAAATATATTTGATTCAATTCGATCGTTAGATCCCATCGATCCCTACGTAGAGCCCGAATCATTGCCATGTTCCGTCCGGTTATTGCTCAGCGCATAGTTCAGTTGCAGGACAACTGAACAATGTTCACTTGCTGGGCAACTGAACTATGTTCACTTGCTGGGCAACTGAACAATGGTATTTTATTTTATTAGAAGTTCTTGGACTGTGGTCCGGGGCTGGTCATTTTATTTGGCGTATCACGGATACCAGCCAAACTTGGGCCAGCAGCGTTGGCAGGTAACTCAATTGCTAGCTGTAACTCACTGAGACAGTTTGTTGTTTGTAGACAAAAAGCTTAACTCGACTCGAGTCACGAATGGAGAACATGATCGAATTCCAGAATATTTTGAAGAATCTGGAGAGAATTGTTCGATTGTTGCTTAAAAATATTCGGAAGCAATACTTCATGTCAGCTAAGAATTCATCTTCCGTAGATGAAAATTTCTAGCTGCAGGCGAAACTTAGTCGTGAGAAATATCTGTAAAATACGTGAGTTTTTTTCGGCTCCAGATGTCATTACTTGAGTCAAGGAGGTTGTGGCACGAGCGATCGTTGGAACTGACAAGCTGACTACGAGCGACAACCGCAAAAACAGGAGCTCTCGTCGATTTTGTATTAAATATTGACTTATCATTGTGCTTCAAATCGGTGAAATCGATCTTTCGTTGGGTTGCTCGAGCAAAGCTTGGCTACCAGGAACTAAGATCCTGTATTGGTAATCTCTCACCGAGCCCCGGCTGCTCTAATGGGTAAACAAACGCATCCACCGCAGCAATTTCATCACTCATTGGCGTGAGAGGAGGGATATACAGTGGGGGGAAATAAATATTCGTACACTTGAAAAATCGTATTTTAATGTATGTAAGTACACAAACTTAACAGGAAAAGTGATTTAAATTATGTATAGAGAGGCATAGTATTCAAAAAGTGATTGCTGTCCTAGTGTCTGGGAAAGAGGATTCGGGTTACCTCGCCTCGTGACAGCGATTTAATTAGCAGTAGATCTGCTGTAGACTGCTTAACTTGTCGAGGAGGATATTCAATCGGCCCTGATTAAAGCAGCTTTATTGTATCGTTACGTGAGTGCCTTAAATTTGATTCTCTAATTTAAAAGTACGAATGTGATTTTCATCATGACTATTTTCTTCCTTACTAGAAGGCAGATGTACTGAAAAATATCAAACTCTGCGTGTGATTTGCCGCTTATTCAACTTTTGAACAATTTTCCCCTTGAAACTTAAACCTTTAGGTTCTTATGCCCGGGCTTGCGAAGAGCTATGCACGGAATTACGAGTTGCTTCATTAGGTAGGATGTTGCCAGCCAGGATCAGAGTGCGGGTTAGGGGACCTGCTCTGGTCCATTCCCTGCCGCCTTGCTGCCGGCGTATCAAATTATCCGTGACGTGCCCTGAGCCTAATGATAACAGCGCCAAGCTTATCGTCGACAGCTTCAGGTCTTCCTCCACGTCTGCTGCTACCGAAGTCGAGAAGTGAGTTCGCTCTAATGTAATTAATTAATTAAAGCACAAGTTTACCGAGAAATGAAAAGCAAAGAAAACTCCAAGGAAGTTTACCGTATCTTCAATGAAAAAGTTTCAATCAAGATAAGGTAAACTTTCTTGACATTTTTTTTTTTTGGCTTTTAAAATCTAAGACTTCACTTTTGTTACGGTTAAGGCAGCCTCGAGGTAACGAGACGATAGCTGTCCTTTTGGACCCGAATTCTTCAGATCATCTCGGCATCAAATATTCCGTTTCTTTGTTGATCAACTTGCTTGTTCTCAAACTACGGCAAACATTTTTGTTCTCGTAGGACGAGACTCTCTATGTCTATCTTGACGTATTTTTAGCATAGTATGTCTAAATTTCTTATTTATTCGAGTTTGATTCAAGACCAGAGAATAAGTTTCATCGGTTATTTTTTGTTAATTTTTTCAGCAAGTCGAACAACATTTTTTCTTTTGCTCAATGCGTCTTTCAACTTGGTAATTAATGTTGATACAATTAACACCGTGTTAATACATTAAAAATACCTTTCAGCAACCTTATTTTTGATAGGCCTGCATCACCGCCAACGAAAAATATTGTTCGACTCTCTAGAAAAATATATATCGATAAAATTTATTCTCTGGTCATCAATAAGACATGACGTATTCAGATATATTGACGGTTTTGCAAGTGTGTTAATGATGCTCTCCATCTTCCTTCACCTGCCACAGGTGCGTTCAAGTCTCCAGATACTCTCGCCTCAAGCAACCGATTCCTAAGACGGTGAGCGCACGTAGCTCTTCATTATTAAGTTTCATTTAATAATTTATTTCTTTTGGAATTCGAAATGTAACTGACGGGTTCATATGCACGGTTTATACATGAACACACACTTTTCTTTGACTGCCTAATATCGTGATGCTCCCGTAAAAATTTCACTACTTCGCTGGACATTGGAGCTAATTTTCTTCGTTTTCTTCATATATCTCAGCTTAGCATTGACTGCTAAGCTGAGTATTTGTTTGACGTGACGTTCCTGTAGTAGAGCGTAGGTTCCCTAAATGTAATGTTACTGCCTTGGTTATGTTTTATTCCAAGCCTGAAATAATTACATTTATTTTAGCAGAATATATCTCCGGGGATGGTGATCAGTCACGTCCAGGACGCATTCGGGGCGACTGAGTCTCAATGCTTGCAGTTGTTAAAGTCGCCAGAACTGCTGAGGCTGAAACAGAAGAAGCTGCTAGACACCATCTCCATCATCAGAGACAACGACATCTCACTCAGCCAACTCATGAGAATCCCGTGGCTGCTCACACTGAGTCCAAGTGAATTGTTAGAACAATCTTTATGATAGTCTAATTGTCACCACCGCGCGCACTCTGCGAGTATTTCATATCTCTTCTTAAAGTATTCCATTTGGCATTTTCTCTTAGTAGAGGCTGAATCCTTGAATTAATCCTTGCAATTCTTAAGTTAAATACTTGGATTGAATTCAAGAGAAGCGGACCTACCTACTCTTTTTCTTAACAAAGTATCAATTTCTTAAGCGCTGCTTCAAGGCTTGAGACGATGTGAATTTTACATTCGGTGTTTGATTAACTGACTTTCGATTTATCAACTGCATTTGCATCGGCAAATCCTAGTGAATCTCTTTAATTGCGGGACCTCATTGTTAGTTGATCTTATTGGTGCTAGTTTGAACTTGTCAGTATAAAATAAATACCCTTGACAAATTTCTATTCGTAATTGTATAAGAATATTATATATACATGCACTTGTTGTCATCACTTGTCAGTGTTGGAAGTAGCCTACAACACTCACTTTCGACACTCCATACTTCAAGTTTTTCGTGTCATGCAAGTTCTTTGTGTCATGTCACCTAAACCACACGCACTCCATCACTATATACTATAAGTTATTCGTGTAATATGCGTCTTGTGACCCACGAACTCCCCTTGTCTTTTGCTTGGCCAGATTACCTCCGCTGGCGCCTGTCGATGTTAGTGGACGATGCGTTCATGTTCCAAACGCCCTCCGACGGCGCCGGCTTTTGCTGCCTCTGCGTTCCCTCTATCGGGAAATTACGAACTCAGTTTTACAGCGAGCGTTACGAGATTTCTGACCACAGGAACAGGATATACTACATGGCAGACAGACTCAAAGTGAGCCTAAATTGTAAAACCCAAATTGCACATGTGACACATCGCTTCTGTTTCTTTTGTTCGTAGATTAATACTAAATATTGTGTTCAGTAGTGTATTTGGTCAACACATTTCTAGAAGTTCAATAGAGTTTAACGTTTTTTTTGCATTTTATTAAGATCAATGAATCGAGAGCGGTTTTCTTCAACTATCCACAATAACTTTTATAGTTAGAGAGTTATCTAACTATGAAAGAATAACTTTTTACAATAACTTACAGTTGAGAGCAGCGATACCAGTCAGTTGTAGATGTCCCAAGTTACAAGGCAGCAAGAACAGTTAGTTGTAGACGTCATAAGTTAGAGAGCTGCGATACGTATTAGTTGTAGACGTCCTAAGTTGAACAAAATACTAGTGATACTAGTCACTTCTAGACGACCTAAGTTAGTACATTGCAGCGATACCAGTAAGTCCAATACGTCCTAAGTTAAAGAGCAGCGACGTCATAAGTTAGAGATCATCGATACCAGTCAGTTGTAGACGTCCTAAGTTAACGAGGCGACCTTCCTCGTGAGGATTGGTCCAGCCGCCAGGTCCCCTGTTCAGTGTTACTTGGACAGCAGGGGGGGGGGGCGCGTGTCCCTGTTGATTTGAATATGTCTGTTACAGGTGAGTGTGCCGGAAATGTCTGAGGCTATCGCTCAGCCCAAGAGTATGAACGTCATGCCCTTACAACGCGTCCGTCAGGTCATCGATATGCTCATTAGTAAGTAACTGATTAAAACGTGACTATACATTATTTATTCACTGTGCTTTGTCGAAGTAAAGCGTTTGCAGGCTCGATCGACCAATAAATACCTTCTAAAATTCACTCACGAGCATAAACTAATTCATTTAGGCTGTGGAAACAAAGCATTATAATTCATACTATATTATGACATTCATGCAAGAATGAATTTTCCATGTTTCGAACTTAACCCTCTACCGCCGTATATCACTCCCTGGGAACATAACTTTCAACTTAAATTAAACGTAAACTATTGTAAGACGTTTGTACGCAACAGAGAACATTTTAAAGTTGTCGTACGTGGCGGCAAATTATACGTAAACTATTGAGTGTAGCAACCTGAGGACGTTTGTACGCAACAGAGAACATTTTAAAGTTGTCGTACGTGGCGGCAACCATCAGTGCAAGTCATTTTGCGCTCACTAGAACGTATACTTTTTGGGAAGTAGGCTTGTGACAATATTGCTCCGGTTACTCATTTTCCTTTATTTTCTGCACGAGTTAGTTTATTTCATGTGAAGTTTAATGCTTGCAGAGTACCAAGTTCCACTTGAGGACATAGTGAGAGATCCCTGGATGTTCCTGAGCAAACTCGAGCTCGACGCCAGAGTCCCCGATGCAGCAGCAGCACTAGAGTGAGTGAAGTGCGCCTTCACGCTCCGAGAGTTTTGGCTATAAATCCTTTTTTCACGAACTCTAACTAAGCCGACATGCGTGTCGTTATCATGCCTCACTGAAATTGATATAACTGGCTGCAGTTGTTGGAATTGTAATATCAATCATTAATCCTTTAGAAAAACAACTACCCTTGATAAAGCTCAAGTAGTTGAATATTTTTCATATTATCGCGGTATTTATGACGCTAGTTTTTCAGCCACACTTATCAAGCAATATAGACGTCTTCGTCGTAGAGCCTAAAATTTTTTCAATTTCAAAAATCCAACTCGGTTCAATAATAAATGGAAGCAACACGACGCGTATTTTAAAGTATGATACATAGCTGTTGCATTGTGATGTCATTCTATAACCTTCAGTTCATTTGCGGATTTTCATGGAGGACATAAAACATATATAATTGGACATATGCAGTTTCTTAGGACTCGGTAGACATTAAGGCTGGTTCTTCAAACTTTGGGATTTGCATGCAATGCATTGTGACATTATTCTATAATCTTCGGTACATTTGCAATTTTTCATGCAAGACGTAAAATATATAATTCTACTTATGTTTTTGTTTTAGTATTTAGGACTCGTTCTTCAAAAGATTTAGTATTTTAATAAAATGCTAGAGATCAATTCATTGTTATTAACTCTGTAGGTGCATTGCGCCCCGTGTGCTGGAGGTGGCGTCACTGCTGGGCATCAACCCATATCTTCTGGCCGCGTACTCCAGCGACCGCAGAGTGAGAAGATTGATGTCCAGGAAAGGTCCCGTCATCGCCGGCTTGCTGATGAATAAAGGATATTCTCTGCTGCAGATTTTGTGAGTTTACTTCGGGGAATATTATATTTGGCAAGCGCCACTCATGCTTGATGACCATGAGATGATGAGATTATTAATTAAATTGATTTTATAAATAATTACGCCATTTTTAAACCGTATATTTTATCCTAAGATCCAGAGAGGCATTTATGTAATGTTTTCCGTCTACATACAAAATTTTACATAGTTAAATCATTATTCGTTTATAAGTAAATAGTATTTTTGCGAAAGTTTTGTTGAATTTAGATTCAAATGCCAACGCTATTCAAATGCTTCAAAGTTGGTCAAACTTTCAATAATGGATGTCATTATTCTACATGATATTCCGATGTTTAATTTTAAGGATCAATCTAAACGTCAAATCTGTTAAATTTCAATGCCGCATCACGGGTAAATTTTACTTAATGTTTAATTAGCTCAAGTCATAATCAATACATCACCTCGAGTCTCAAGGACTTGAGTCTTTCGAGTCTTTCTATCAATACCTTATAAAAGTAGAGTCTTTCTATCAATACCTATAAAAAACTTCCTTGTTTCGAGTCTCTATCAATACCTTATAAAAGTCGAGTCTTTCTATCAATACCTATAAAAAAATTTCCTTGTTTCGAGTCTCTTTCTATCAATACCTTACAAAAAACTCATGTCTTCTTCTGTCAACAAGGCTGGACACGAGAGTGATCAATTACAAGCCCCAGCGCCTCGCCGAGCGTCTCGCGCGCGTCACGAGTCACAGGACGGCAACGATGAGCGTGCTCTATTACCCTGACCAAGTCTTTGATGCATACTGTCGTAGGATGGAATATGCTCCCACCCTCATTGATGGCTACACTGATGTCAAAAGATCAGCGCTATGATAACGTTCAACTCGAATCATACTCTCCGAGAATATCATTTATTCAAAACTTAATCTTCAGATTCACAAGAAAAAAATATCGCTTTCGGTGTTTCATTTTCCCTGGCAGATTAAGTTTTGCCTGCACTTAGTAGAGGACTCACAGAAAACAAGATAACTAGTTCTGGAGGCGCTTTATTAATTTCTTTTATCTACAAAACATTGACATATTGCAATGCAATAATTTTAGTTTCTTCTAAGTAAATTTAAAACGTCGGTCCCGGTATGACATTTGGCCCGACCGGTAGATACGCTCCTTTTCGAGCTGAAATGAAAGAGCAATAGAAAGATAAGTTCTCAAGACTGGTTTATCCTTGTTAATCAGAGATAAACGAAGCCAACAGATAAATGGATATTTATTATTTCTTAGCTGTATGATTATTATTTCATTCAGGTGACATTCGATTGACCACTAGGTATTAAAAGCTTTGTTGTTCTGACACTCAAGCCACTTACTATACATCATTAACCTTAAATCGCTGGTAATAATTGTCATAATTCCAACTCGGCAATGTGCCAAGGCCTAGCTTACCTAGTACCTATCAAATAGGAACTTACCCTTGAAGTGTAGAGGAAATAAAAAAGTATTCCAATTGGCACCACGTTCAGGAAGCCGATGAGCGAAGTTTTGGGAGTCGGTCTGAAGAACTCATTTGTTGTGGCCTTCATGGCCATCCAGCGTTGAATTGCAGGATCGAACTGCAAAGGGGTTTGCATTAGGATAACTAGGTTGAAGAGTCATATGACATGAAATGCTTTCTGGGAGCATTGCAAGCAGAGAATAAGATATTTGAATATATGTCACGCCGGGATTATGGCGTGAAATCGGTGCTCAGTTTTGAGATCTCGTGCAGTTCCTACTCTCAAGTGTCTGATATTTGTAAGGTTATATCTGATGCTGCACAGATTCTCAGGCTATGGGTAATTTTCAGATGGCTGATGAATGACTAACAATGGGAAATCTTAACTATCATATAATAACTGGAGTCTTTGTTTGACATTTCTTATCCATAGCCCAAATTATGATCATAAGGCCTGTTTTACAGAGGGTTGTAGTTGTTTAGCCAAGTTTCCTGTGGGAAAGATATTAAAAAACGTGCACCATCCTGCGTATGGACCACTTATGGTATTGGTGGCCACCACTCAGCAGTTTTGGATTCTTCAAAGCTTATCAATAGAGTAGAAGTGATCTGAAAAGTTAAAAAAAAACTCATGATCATGTTGCTAGCCCTTCTATAGCTTAGTGGACTCAATGGTTAATCATACAACAATGAGAAAATTGTAAGTTCAGGTAAAATTAGGCTACATCAGGCATGTCAAATTTCTACATTGCAAGTCAGGCCAGGATTTTTGAAGCACAAAGTTTATTATCACTTTGGCCATAAAATAAATTTGATCAGTGAATCAATTTTTAATACTTTTTACTGCATTTTCTAACAAGTGGATAATCAACCAGCAACTCATTCATCAAGCCATGACAATTATGAGGCAATTTGGTGCTTGCTATTACATGCTCTATCTGACATGACTGCAGTTATCATAAAATCGAGGAGATTACGGATCAATTATAGTAAACAGTTCTCCAATTTTGGGGTCTGTGTTCTCTTTTGATTTATTTCGGCAAGGTAACAACACAAATGACATCAGTTTCTGGCCATATATACAAACCATCTTATTAAAAATCTTGGCATGATCTCGGCACCAAAAACCAAAGTAGAAATTGAAAAGCTGAGAAAGGAATATAGCTTGTTAATCTGGACAGCATCAGCGTGACCGTGGACTACAAAGTCCTCAGCTCATCACAAGGACACCCACTGCAAAGAATGAGCTCAAGAAGAATAAAGTCTAGATTGCGGTTTTACTAAAATAACACATAACAAGAATCATTGATAGACAATGTTTGACCAAATGCAAATAAAACACATACTTGCAGTTCATGACTTGAATAACAATTTTGATATTTTATTTTGCTTTACTCATTGAAAAGTCAACTGTTAAAGCCACTAATGCCTGAGGGACAGAATTCAATGACAAAACAAATCTAAAATGAATTCTAAATAAATTGAATATGACTGAATTCAAACAGACCTATCAATCGTCTGCCCATGCTGGGGTGTAAAACACCTTGGCATAATACGCATCATTTAATTCTACAGCATGTATGAAGTCGTGTATTAAAAAATTAAATTTAATACAATTTAATTATTATTTATTTTTACATCACTTCTCTTTAACTTCACTTCTTGTTGTTTGTTTGTCTGCTACAAATCTTATGATCAATATTTAACACACTTCTACCAGTCCAATCTTTTTGAAATTTTGCACACTTGTGTAATATTGGAGACAATGCCTGAATCAATTGACAGAATAAATATTTTTGAAAATTCAACAAATTTTATTTTTGATATTAAAAAATGAAAAAAAAAATAATTTGTGTCTGCTATACATAACTTATACGGTAATCGATTTTTAACACACTTCTACCTGTCCAATGGATATAAAATTTTGCACACTTGAGTAAAGTCAGAGACAATGCATGTATCAATTGACAGAATAAATAATTTTGGAAATTTTAATTTTTTATAAAAAATTGAATTAAAAATTAATTTTTAATAGGTATTTCATAATAAAATTAGAAATTAATTGTACATATGTAACACCTGAGACATTGGATTCTTTAGAAGTGTTGTCTTTAAAAGTAATTTTTAAACACATATTATTTAAACAAAATTTGAACACCACTTGCTACATGCTGTAGAATTAAATGATGTTAATAAAATGTTGAATTACAAATTTTAATTAAAATTTTTAAATTACAAATTAAATTTCATTAAATTGAATTGAATTGTTTATTACACCTTGTGGAGTTGTGGTACATGCCTAAGCGATCAATGCTTTATATAATGCACCAGTTGCCCCTTCTAAACAACAAACATTTTCTAGAAGACACGAGAAGAAGTATCAATAGGCAGAGGTGGGCAGTAGCACGCTACATGTAGTGGCTGCAACATTTTAGGTAGCGGTAGCAGCCCTACATTTAAGCAATTGTAGTGGTAGCGCCCGCTACATATTCAAGTAGCAATATGAGGTTTCATATTCATAATAATACGGTGGATACGCCATAATTCAAGAAAAACCCCACCAAACCCTGTTTTGCCGCTACAGCGCTACCGCTACATTTATAGATAAAGCCTTTAGATTTTACTTAATAGAATTAAATATTATTTAAAAACCAACATGATACATAAATAATATAAATTACAGAATAAAACTGAACGAAAGATTTTGGTGTAATGCTGTCAACCTCAGCCTATTACTGGTGTCAACATGTAGTTGTTACTTGTTAAGTTGTTACCAGTTACCACTTACAGGTATTTTTTCATGTTTCAGTTTGCTGAGTTATTTTTATGCAGTGATTTTTATGTTTTACCTTCCCTACATGGATGTCTACTTTAATCTACCAATCTACAAATATATACAGATATATATTTGTATATATACACATATATCTACAAATAAAAGACTGATTTTTTATATGTATATGTGGATAATTTTTGAGATTGGTAGATTAAAGTAGACATCCATGTAGGGAAGGTAAAACATGAAAATAACTAACTTTTATTTACTGTATCTAATCTGTACTATAGTCCGGTTAGGTTAATTGTAATGAAGTTGCATTAATAGGTTTTGAAAATGTTTAATTAAATGTTTATGAGTAAATCCCAATAGCAGAACAATAAATGTTTAGAGATTTCCAATAATTTTGGCCATTGTAGCGGCTAATGTAGTGGCGTTACATTTTACTGTAGCAGTAGCACTCGCTACAATCTAGTGGGTGTAGGGGTAGTGCCCGCTACATCTAGAGCATGTAGCGGTAGTGGTAGCGCCGCTAAATTTCAAAGAAGCGCTGCCCAGCTCTGTCAATAGGTGTTCAAATTATGAAACAACTTTCCATCATTACACTTCCAAGTGGAATGCGGATCAAATCTATTTATTGTGAAATCATACTTGACAGACCAGAGCAAGGTGTGTGACCCCGTCCCGTCAAATGTTTACATGGCATAATGAAGTGCCCATACTCCATGAATGATTTGCAATTTATCCCATCATTTCATGTGGTTTAGAAAACTCTGTTGGTATTGATGAAATTGTAAGGATTTTTCTGCAAAAGTTGACATAATTTTTTATTCATTTTAGAACATATTCGTTGAAAAAATTTGTGAAATACGGATAAACACCTATTAAATATACTCAAGGGAGGTGTTGTTGACACAGTGTTGGATTTTGAACCATGCAAGATATCGGAAGCGTGGCAGTTTCTGACAAGCTCAGTGTCTTGGTATAAATTTCGTCACTACAGTATAATATAAGGTGTAACGTGGTTGTGATGGGCTTTTTGATCAATTTTCTCATGTAAATATGAGAATATATTACCTAAATATAATTCCATGCTGTCGCCCATAGTAGCTCTTATTTCCAGTCAAAATCAATTTCCTAAATAGCAAAATTTCAATGTTGTAGAGGACAATAACAAATTTGATGGTCTTTTGGGAACCTTGAAAATTTGAATAAAATAAAGAAAATAATTAGTGTAAATCAGTTTTGTATCCTTGATGACTGACTAATTATTATATCAAGATCTTTTGCAGTCAGATCAAAGCAGAAGAGTTTTAACTTGTTATGAACACCGGAATTGTGAGCTGAGGTTGCCCATCAGGTAGATCCTGCAATGTGTGGAATAATTCAGTGTGGAATTCTGTATAGGTAATATATTCTCATGTTAACATAAGAAAATGTATCAAAAAACCTACCCACCTTCCACTGCAGTGAAAATTGATACACTGAGCTCATTAGAAACTGCCACGCTTCTGAAATTGCAAGTGGTTTGAAATCCAATGCCGTGTTGGCAATGCCTCAATCAAGTTAACTAGTCGTTTATCTGTAGGCTAGTTGACAAATTTTTGCAATGAATATGTTCTAAAATAAAAAAAAACACATCCACATTCACAAAAAATTCTCACAATTGGACAATACCAATAAAGTTTTTGCTATCACACAAAATTATGAGATTAACTGTAACTTTTCAGGGAGTAAATTCACATCATGCTTCTACAATTACATTTGACATGGCGGTGTCACACACATTTCTTTTGGTCATGTCAAGTTTGATTTCACAATAAATACACTTGATCCACATTCCATACTGAGATTTAAATGATTGAAAGTTGTTTTAAATTATAAAAACCCATTGATATGTTCCAGATTTGAATTTTTTCCATTTTTTTGCCCTATTATGTTAAATTTATCTTAATAACTTCACTTCAAATTCTGAATGATTTCATCTGCCATGGCGAGTTTTTTAACATTTTGTCTTTTAGAAAATGTTCGTTGTTTAAAAGGGGAAACTACATGGTGCCAATCCATAGGTTATTCAAAAGAACCTGTTCTTATGTCATTTTGAACCGATCAACACTTCTTTATGGACCGATCGTAAAACACAACCTTCACCGGCAAAAGCTTTCACACTTCTGAAACTGAGCCGGACCAGGCGATGCTCTTGCAAACGCATAAGTACTCACAATAATTCCCTACCACCATGGGAAACTATTTCATTTTATAAAACATAGAGCATGTACCATAAGGTGCATTAATAATACAATTTAATTTAGTATAAATTAATTTTTAGTTTAAAAAATTTAATCAGATTTTTAATTTAACATTTTTCTAATAGAATTTAATTCTACACCATGTACCATCTAGTACATTAAATAATAAAATTTAATTTTAATTAATTTCTTTAATGTAATTTAATTCTACAGCTTCAACCGGTAAAAATGAGCATCATAGGAATGAAAGTAAAACTGTTGTTCATACATCACAAATTGAATGACAATGAATGGATTTGATTGGTATTTTAATAATCCTATCCTATTTATATATAAGAAGAGAAATGCTGCTTCTATTTCACAATGATAATGGATACCTATGTCCCTACTATATCAGAAACTGTTCTTGAATACACTTGCAAAAACTAAAGTTCTGTAATCAATGGAGTCTTCAAAATGACAAAATTGTTCAATTCAAAATTTTTAGCTATATGATTGAGATCATCATTCATCCCTAGGAGCATTCCATCCTGTGAAGGCTGTGATCCTGGAAGGCTGGACCCTGCATAGTGCATAGCAATTCAAGATTCAACAATAGAGGTTTCACCATCAAGTGAGCATCAACATGATCAACTGTTGTTCCAGTCTCCACTTCCCAGCAATGACCAAAACAAAAAATTCATTCACATTTTAAGATACTAACTACAAAAAATCTGTTTATTTTCTCAGTATAGACTTAAGTTAAGATCTATTAAGTACTAGTAACTAAATAAAAAACTATTAATACCTTCTCAATTCAACTTACAATTGGTTCGTTGCCATTGATGAAACGGTAGGGATTGTATTGCTGCTTGATAAATTGAGCCTTTAAAGCAGCTTTCATCCTGGCTCTTTTGGCGATAAGTTCCTCTTCCTGCGACATCGTGTTAAAGGTTCGACTGTTTACAAATATAGCAAACACTCACAACCTTCTTCCCATCATACCACCAGTAACCACCTCCGTCGTCGAACTAATAGTAACCAAAAATACGTTAAATGTCACTAAAAGCTACCCCCAAAATTTTTGTTTCGAACTCTCTATATGGTATTCCTTCCTTTTATATTAACCCTTTCGCGGGTAAGGTTTAATATATTAAAAAAATTCTTTATCCGATAAACGAATTAGTGAGCCATTCTTAGATGTAATTACGCATATGGGTAATCTGAAATTCTGGACATTTAATGAGTAAATTGCAATTGCAGAATTTATTAAATACAGTCGATAAGCTAACAAAAATATATGTTATTCAATTTAACGATACTAATGTAAAGGGTATGTATTCAACTTCAATTTACTGCAATTCTTCAAATTATTTTATTTAATTGAATAGATAGTCTTGGTTGATACTAGTTGTACCATGGATACCGATACCTCCCCTTTAAAAAATGTGAACAGAGAGTCAATTTCATATTCCGTTTCAAAACATTCATTTAAATGCTTACATTACAAATCTTGAGCATGGTAGGTGATGAGGCTAGATACGGAATGATGCTCAGATGAATGGAGGTAGGGAGAGGCATGATAAATAAAAAGTAGGCTGCAAACGCAAACTCGAGGCTGTTGTGGGTCTTTTTTAGAGGTGATATTAGGTGATCAAATATAGTAACTTGCCCGCTAAAGACTCAATAGAAGAAGTCAGCATAAACTGTCTCTTTAACCACACGAGAAGAGATGTGATAGTGTGAATGGTAGTTTCATCTGTTATTTCAATTTACAACAATTACCCCGTCAAAGGTTTTTGTAATTTTGCTTTTGTATTCAATTCTCTAAAGTCTTTCTGGAACCTTATGTGAATCATGATTATTCAGGTATAACGCAATAATGTGCCTACTTAACTCAAAAACAGTCTTGGGCGCAAATTCTAATCTCTCTTTTTCTAATCTTTTTGGAGAGGAGCAATGAAATACCACTAAATAAGGACATAAGCATACTATAAAATAGATTTTCATCGAGCTACGTTCAGTACTTCCAGGTACAGAGATATTCCAGATATTCCAGGTACAGAGTCCGGCTGCGAGACCGGCCGCAAGTACGGCCGTAAATTTGTCTGAGACGTCAACTTCTCCACGCCACAACATTTCTTCTCGCTTCGAATCACCGACATGTGGAACAGCCTCCCCGATGACATCGTTGGCGTTCCAAGTATGAACGCGTTCAAGAACAGACTAGATAAAGCTATGGAAAAATTTATGTTCAGATTTGAAATGCCTAGCACCATATCGAACTCGGTGGAAGTCTAGTAGCTACTTCAAACTATCGTCAGTTATTAAAAGATCCTGTCAAATGACACGATTTAAAATCTGTGAACAAGGCACGAAAAGGAAAAGAATCGGCGACAGGCCACATCAGGCCTACACTTCAGCGCCGAGATCACTAGGTTATGTTATGTTAAGTACTTTGGGTCACACTCACTAAGCAGCTGCAGTGGGGGCCCCTTATTTCTAACAGTACAAAGTGGCCTGTCGGCGACAGGCCAAATCAGGACTATTCTTCAGCGCCGACATCACTATGATATCACATAAGACAAATCATCACGTGGGCTTCATCAGACGAAACGTTAAGATTGTCTACAAATCCATCAAGGCAGCCACCTATAAATTAGTTCGCTCCGTACTGGAGTGCGGCAGTTATGTGTGGGATCCTCATACAGCAGACGATATTGACACCTTCAAAAAACGTAGAGCAGCGCGGTGGGTCTCGCATCGTTTCTACTGGACTTTCAGTGTGGCTAACATGCTACACGACCTAGGATGGCCAATGTTGCTAGACAGACGAAGGCGTAATATAAAATCCGCAATAACCAGCCGGCATTAACACCAGCCACCTCCCCACCGTCAGATGTTCTATTCAGAATAGCAAGAAGTCCTATCCTCAAGAGCATGTCGTCCCCTTCAGCTGAACTCAAACCGCTAGAACTAGATGACATTTTTCCCCGCATCATATTCGAATGGAACTACCTTCCTGGGGACGCAGTCTTGGCAACATCGCCGGACGTATTCTGGACCAGGGTTGTCCCTCTTTAATTAAGTAAAATATGATGGATAAATTCAGGATGCATTAATAACTTGAGTGTAGTTGACTCATCAGCTTGTTGATGTTGGCTACCTACAGCCGAGAAAAAGACTGTATGTAGCCGAGAAAAGACTGTATATTATTATTATTATTCTGCGAAGCATTTATCGTGGCGTCTGGTTCAAACGAACTTCGAGGGCGCGTCACACATATGATTAATAGCAAGCGAAAAATAAATAAACACAAGAAAGGATGGGAACGGATAAAATGACTAAGCACTAGATTCATGGGCTCTATGAAATATTTCCGTCTTTAGAAGTCGGCGAAACACCTGCAACGAAGGAGCCGAAGTTACGGAAGCCGGCAGATTGTTCCAGGTTCTGGCGGCGGCGACCAGGAACGCTTTGTCGCCGATGGTAGATAGACGTGTGGCCGGTACGAGGTTCGCTGTTGATGACGAACGCAATCGTTTTCTAGAAGGCAACACGCGCTGCAGACATTCCTTGAGATAAGAGGCACCAGACCGTGAAGGCATCGGAACGTCATAACAGCGACCTTGAACTTAGTTCACTGCTGCATACCCAGTCAGTGAAAATCGCTCAATATCGGCGTCACGTGGTCGAATTTTCGCTTATGTATTGCACAGACATGCGGCGTCAGCCGGTGCACAGTAACCATGAATTTGGGTGTCGTCGGCGAACATATGCGGATTCATAATATATGAATCGATTATATGCAATACGTCGATAGTAAATAATAGGAAGATCGGGCCGAAAACTGATCCCTGTGGTACGCCGCAAGTGACCAACGATGGCTTAGACGAGCTCTCGCGTCGAACGCATTGGAATCTATAGCTGAGATAGGACTCTAACCACAGCAGCACTGTGCCGCACAGGCCGAATTATACGTCAAGTGGACGGGATAAAGTGGTGTGGTCGACCGTGTCAAACGCGGCCGACAGGTCGAGTAAAGCTAGTGCCGCAATGGCACCGCGGTCTACTGCTCGCAGAATGTCTGCAAGCACCTTCAGCACAGCGATATCCGTCTAGTGGAGATGACGGTATGCAGACTGGAGGCGAGGCATGATATCGGACATGCTGATGATGGTTGTTCAGCTGTCGGGCCACAACGCGTTCCAGCAGTTTCAACAAAATGGACACGTTGGATATGGGTCGATATTATTTGTGATCGGAAGCGCCAAGGTCTATTTCTTTAATAGAGGCGTAATGTAAGCTGATTTGAAGGTCATCGGAACTAAACCGTCATTGAGGCAGCGGTTGAAAAGTTCGACCAGAAAATGTGCTAGGGTTACAACATTACCCTTAAGTAACGACGTCGGCATCAGCACGCTGCTGGTTAGGCAGCGCATACACTGTAGCGATGACGTCGTCAGCTGTGACGCGAGTAAATTCTTGGAGCACACAGTCGAAAGGGCAAATGATGCCGGGGGAGCATCGGCCGACGACGCTCGCACAGAAGGAATTTTGTTTTCAACAACCGCATGGGAGTTTTAAAAGTAAGCACCGCTTGAGATGGTTTGGGAAAGACAGTTGCAATATGGCGTTCAATGCCAGCTCGAAACACTTCTTTGTTTCATTAATTTTGTTTTACAAACGATGGGAAATGGCCCAGAGCCAGAGTCATGCGATATTTTTATGAAAGATAAACCTTAGAGTTCTGGAGATTAGAAACACTTTGAAATATCTATAACCAGGTTTGCTCGTCGAGACATTGAGAAGCTAAAGCGTGCTATTTTGGACTCCGTGGGCTTGATCGGCATGAGAGGGCAAGCAGGGCTGCCTCCTCCTGTATAAAATGTATAAAGCCTTCAGCGATGACAGTGTTATAGCCTTTTTGTATCTCAATGTAAAGCGAAAGAGAGGTGCTGGATCACATGACCAGCGGCACAATACAAGTTATTTAAGCCTGAAATTATCTTCTTTGTACGCATTTCCATAATTTCCTAAATAAATTATTTTCTTTTCGTGTCAGCGGCGCAGCGGGTATTGACGTGTTGTCAGATGACATCAGCTGCACTAGCAGGTATAGACGTGTTGTCAGATGACATCAGCTGCACTAGCAGGTATATAGACGTGTTGTCAGATGACATCAGCGGCTCCTAGTGTCTTCTCATCTATTTTCTGGTTTACCAATTGACACTATAACCACAATACATTAAACTGCCACGCTGACTTGATTAGGACTATCAGTAGGGATACGAACTAATGTGGATAGACCTCATGATCCTTTGCTCTCAGAAGTTTTTCATACAAAGATAGTTTAGGAAATGATTAAGAAAAATAACAAGGTTTTGGATCATATGAAGCAAAAAGATTCAATCAAAATCATTGCCTCTTCAAAGCCCCACCTTCCCATACAAAATCGGGAGCCATACTTTCAAAACTGGCTAAGTGAACGTAAGTACTTACGCTCTATTTTCTTGTCTATGATTGGTGGATTTTGTTTGAGAGGCCGTCAATGATTGGCTGATGAACTTACGATCTCTTAACTTTTTTTGAAGGTATGGGCCCAGGGAAATAAGTACAACTTTTTCCATATATAAATTGCTTTATTGCGGGTGTGTGTGGGTCATCCTGACCCAGTTTGACTATTTAGGCAATAGGGCGAATATATACTACGTCTGCTTTCTGTACGTGACGTGGACAAGAAAGTGTATCACAGTTTGGACAACATTACTCATTCATTTTCCTGAGTGGAGGACTGGGCGTCCATGGGCGTTTCCTGTGTCTTTTGCCGGGCAAAAGCGGGTCAGGAAAGGCAAAAGTGCATCGCCATTCAACAAAATGTCTATTTTTCTGAGTGTACAGCAAGTTCTAGGAAAAGCTTATTTGTACTTCCATGCACAGTCTGAGCGCCAGTCAGTTGCCAGAGCGATCACAGTTAAAGGATGTTACACAATATATTAACTAAAATCATTTTCAAACGGAATATAAATATAATATATTTAAAAAATGAAAAATAATTTTTGAATTAAATATTTATAGAATATATAAGAAAATAAAACGAAAAATAATTTTTAGGTCGAATATCAAGAGCGTTGGTAAGAAATGAAGAAAAAAAATTAGTTCAACTTCATTGTTAATTAGAAATTTCGGTAAAACCTGGTAAAGGGAACGACAAAAGTTTTGAAACGATGAAATGTAATGCGACGCATTCTATTTCTATTAGAATTATTATAATCAAGTTTCGTTTTTTATCATTATATCTATTAAATTTATTATTAAGATAAATTATTAAGTGACTATCTATTATGATATGACAAATTTCAATGGGATTTTCTTTTCTTCTAAGTTTCTGGGGAATTTTGAATTCAAGAGAATGAGCGTCATTAATACAATACATTACAGATACACGAGGCAGAGTCGAACGACTTTGGAGCACCAAACTGAGGGGGCGGCGAGTTGTGGGTTCGGTACCCGCTGCTAGCTGTAAAAATTCAGATAATAGGGCGAATATATACTACGTCTGCTTTCTGTACGTGACGTGGACAAGAAACTGTATCACAGTATGGACAACATTACTCATTCATTTTCCTGAGCGGAGGACTGGGCGTCCATGGGCGTTTCCTGAGTCTTTTGCCGGGCAAAAGCGGGTCAGGATGACCCACAAAAAGGCAAAAAGTGCATCACCATTCAGCAAAATGTCTATTTTTTCTGAGTGTACATCAAGTTCTAGGAAAAAGCTTATTTGTACTTCCATGCACAGCCTGAGCGTCAGTCAGTTGCCAGAGCGATCACATGCAGTTAACGGATGTTACACAATGCATTAACTAAAATAAATTTTTAAATCGAACATCAATAGAATATATTAAATAAATAAAGAACCGAAAAATAATTTTTGAATCAAATAATAATAGAATATGCTCAAAAATTATATAGAAATAATAATTTTTCAGTAGAATATCATTAGCGTAAAGACCTGGTAAAGGGAACAACGAAAGTTTTGAAACGATAAAACGTAATGCAAAGTTTTCTATTCAAAATTTTATTATCAAGGTTTATTTTTATTACTTATTAAATTTATTATTAGGATAAATTACTAAGTGACCATCTATTATGATATGACAAATATTAATGGAATTTTCTTTTCTTTTAAATTTCTGTTGAATTTTGAATTCAAGAGAATGAGCGTCATTAATACAATACATTATATACACGAGGCAGAGTCGAACGACTTCGGAGCACCAAACTGAGGGGGCGGCGAGTTGTGGGTTCGGTACTCGCTGCTAGCTGTAAAAATTCAGATCAAACGCGGTAGGTCGCCGAGCGGTTAAGAATAACAATAATTCAACAGCGAGTCGCGGTTTCAAAACCCAAGTAAGCTGTAAAGATCATGTCTAGACTCGTCAGCAGTGCAGATATCAACGCCGATATCACAATTACTAGACATTATTAGTAAGCTGGTGGTTACGGACTTGTTCAACTCGTGCCTAAAATGACCAAGCTTATAGGCCTTAAAAACTAACTAATTTCCAATAAAAATAATTGTTTTTGAAAACTTCGTTATTTCCTATAAGAATTAATTGGTCTATGTAATTTATGTTAGTCTTTACAATAGAATTTTAATCTTGATCACAGCGGAGACAGCAGGCAGACGGAGCCTCCACGTCAATTGGAATTGGGCTCACATCTCCTCAAATTGAACTGCTGAGCCGAAATTGGGCTTATGGCGCTAAAATTGAACACCTCAGCCCCAAATTTGGCGATCAAATTGAACTGCAGGGCCCCAACTTAGGTTCACGGCTCTCAAACTGAACACGTGAAACAAAAAACGAAGAAATTTTCCCTAAACTAAAGCTACAGCCTTCCACACAAGGCTCATGATGCCCAAGGGAGATATGAGTCGCAGTTTGGTAGTAACGAGATCTCAAGCGGGGCTACATTATCACAGTTTCATTACTGAAGAAACAGTGACAACAATGGTTATCACAGCACTATTATCACAGTTTCATTACTGAAGAAACAGTGACAGCAATGGTTATCACAGCACTATTATCACAGTTTCATTATTGAAGAAACAGTAACAGCATGCAATGGTTTGACTGCAGACTTGCAGTACCTCGTTTCTTAAATAGATGACATTACTCAATTGTGAAATGAATGTCAAATAAACGAAAATTAATTTTTAATTCGCATATTACCAGCGTAAGAAAGAAGTTAAATAAAGAAAGTAATTTTTACCGTACATTACTAACATTTTGGAGGGCGTAGCAAACTATTTTCATCTCGAGGCAACTACTTACTGATTAAACATTTATTTTAATTCTCAAACAAATAATCACAACCCGAGTTAACTACTCAATAAATTACTTTTAGGAATGCAAAACAGCGCCAATATTGCATATTTTCTCGACTCACACGCAATTATCGAGGGCGTCAGGTGTCCAGGGGCCATACTTTCAAAACTCGCTAAGTGAACGTAAGTACTTACGCTCTATTTTCTTGTCTATGATTGGTGGATTTTGCTGGAAAGGCCGTCAATGATTGACTGATGAACTTACGATCTCTTAACTTTTTTTGAAGTTATAGGCCTTCAAGTGCAAGCTGCACTGATAAGATAACAGCTTCGCTCCTGAACAGCTCTTCGTGACGCTCTTGGCAACAAAAAAAAAAACAAACAAACAAAACAAAGCCCACGACAGAAATAGGAATAAATAGCAAATTTTACAGCAAGTGAGGATGCAGGTAATGTCAAAGGTGATGTTGTAGTTATGTTTGCACATCCTACAGGTACAAGTGGCCATAAGGGAGGAAGTTAATTTCAAGGGGCACTCAAGCCACCGGTAGTTGGGGCACAGCGTCTGGTTTGCTGACCCGCTAGAACCATTATATAGTTATCAACACGACCAAGATACTTACTTATTAATCATAACAGAATGAATTCCTTTCATCAGCGATTGATGGCAGCAATATTATCAAATAAAAATCTCAACAGCACATGAAAATTGAGAAAATTTCAGGTGAGATCCTTAGGCGAGGCAGGATTATCAGCGAACTGGCGCGACGGTAGCGCCGGGCACTCTGCCCATGTCCATGTGCAGGCGTATGTAGGTCTTCATGACGGCGGGGCTCGCCAGCACCTGGACAACATTAAAATTACACTCACACAAATGAATGGGTCAGATTTCAAAAATAGTGACAACATTTCATCCTCACATTAACCAGGCAGTAAGGCGGCAGTAACCAGGCAATAAAGTGGCAGTAACCAGGCAATAAAGTGGCAGTAAGGCGGCAGTAACCAGGCAGTAAGGCGGCAGTAACCAGGCAGTAAGGCAGCAGTAACCAGGCAGTAAGGCAGCAGTAACCTGATCTGTGGTGGGGCGGCAGGCAGCGTCCTGCTGCAGCAGAGACTCCAGCAGCGACCACAGGTTTTCGCCACAGCGTTCGCTGCTCACCGCAGCGAAGTCGCCATTAGTAATTTTCGTGAAAAGCGCCATTATCGTCTGCACACACAGTGTACATTAACAAATATTCATCAATATTTAACAATATTCTTTAAAAGAACAATATTCTTCAAATGCTAGACATAAAATGTATTAAAGAAACAGTTATATCTATAAGCGGGGAAGTCTCACATCTCCGTGTTGAGATTTACGTGATATTTGGATGTGAGCAGCAAGTGACAACGAGCAATTGGAAAAATTATCCAAATTTATTTCAAATAGGATATGAAAAACTGCTGCCATCACTTAACCATAAAACAGGTGGTTGCAAGAGAAAACCAACAGGTTATATCACCACAGCTTCACTATAATACTGGTGGTTGCAAGAGAAAACCAACAGGTTGTATCATCATCGTTTCACCATAATACTGGTGGTTGTGAGAGAAAACTAACAACTTGTATCATCACAGCTTCACCATAATACTGGTGGTTGTGAGAGAAAACTAACAGTTTGTACGTGTGGGGAGTACACAGTACACAGCCTAGCCACACAACACAGCACACACCCTAGACACACATCACAGTACACACCCTAGCCACACAACACAGCACACACACCCTAGCCACACAACACAGCACACACACCCTAGACACACATCACAGTACACCATAAAACCGTAGAGCATCCAGTTCATCACCTCAGCCTGGAATGCCATCTTGAGCGTCAAGAGCTCGTACAAGATGCAGCCGAGGGCCCAGACGTCGCTCTTCTTGTTATAAGGTTTGTTCTGGCACAGCTCTGGGGAGAGGTAGCACGGGGTCCCCACCACAGTGAATGCTTTGCTCTTGCTGCAAGGAAACCAACACATTTTAGCTCACTCGGGATCAAGCAAATAAGTTGCAATACGTTTCCTAATTGTATCTGATACAAAATTTTTAAATCGAGATTGAACTTATCTTTGTGAATGAAATGTGATGAAGAGCTATGTATTTAGCCAATAAAAATTGCACACCAAGAACACTAATTGACATGAAAGCTTGATTGTTAAAACTTCGTCATTCATGTATCTTCAAAACTATTTAAATCAAATCACCACACAACACAGTACACATCCTAGCCACACAACACAGTACACACCCTAGCCACACAACACAATACAACTTATTATACCCAAGTGTTTCACTACACACCTGCTCAAAATCTTAGATATACCAAAGTCCCCTATCTTGAGATATTTGTGGGTAATATCCATGAAGATGTTCTGGGGCTTGAGGTCTCGGTGCAAGATGTTCTGGCGGTGGATGTGCTGCAGGCCTAAGGTCATCTGCGTGAACAGATCCACCGCGTGCTGCCAAAACCAATTATAACTTAATCCATGCATGATGCTCATAAGTTTATTATGAACAATTATTATGAACTTATTATTACAATTATGAACACTTATTATGAACACTTATTATGAACAATTATTATGAACTTAATCCATGCATGATGGTGCAAATTAGTTATTGTTATTTACTGAGAGTTAAGAGAGCTTTCAGCAAAATACAAGATTTTACATCCCAAGTACATCAATGTGTAGAAATAACATGTACAAGATGTGTGCAAAGATATAATTTTATAACACTCAGTAGGATCATATAAATATTAAATAGAAATATTTATTTAATATTTTTGAAGTTTAAAAGCATGATACCTACAATTGATAATTATCTGTTAATAGAACATCATTGCATCCTGATCAATATTCCAAAAATATATAACTACTCACTGCACTCACTGCAGTGAGTGACAGAGAGCGCATTTTCTTGTTGACTAAAACTTGAAGTCACGGACTGACAGACGGACAGACAGACGGCCATGGCGAGCACAATAGTGCATTTTTTCCATAAATGAGAAAATGCACTAAAAAGAGTGAGTTGATATGAAATAAGCAGGTTATTTTTGCTTGACCGCACTGCAAATAAGGAAGTAAGGTTATAAGATGAGGCTTAAGATCATACTTGTTCCTGGAGGAAGTTGCTGGGCAGTCTTGACTGCAGGAAGGACTGCAAGTTGCCCCCAGCAGCGTACTCCATCACTATCATGAGGGACGAGTCATGGTTGAAGCTGTTGTGGTAATGAATGATGAAGGGATGTCGCAGGATTGACAGCACACGAACTTCAATCAATGAACTCTGAAATGAATTGCAAAATAAAAATAAAATGGCCACATATATAACAATATGTGTCATTAATCACTCGTGTTTTAACAAGCTTATTCTGCTATCTTTTTCTAATATATAACAATGTGTACAATAATTAGATCAAGAAGGGCTTTGATCAGAAAAATATAGTTGTAAGCAAATAAGGCACTTATTATCAGAGGAGAATAATAGCACTAATCAGTATATAGGTAATCATAAGCTGTTTTAAAATAAGATCAGTTTTTCAGGAATGTATGATAAAGTTATTTCATGAAAAAAAAAACCTGGTTCATACATTGCCTAAATCCATGAAATTTTGAAGGTAAAAAATGCCAAAAATTCATCATCCATAATTGAGAGGAAGCTATTATATTCTGGAGCTTGAGGTCTGAACTTCAATATGAATATATTGAAGTTCAGATAAAACACTTAAGCTTAACAGGTGTCCGTTACATCAGCATCATGATGAGAGAGAGATTCAAGTGATATCTGCTTGATGACCACAGGCAGGCCATCTTTGCGCCTCTTGAAGAGGTGGACAGCACTGAAAAAAAGAGCACCAATTTACAACACGTTAAACTAGTTCAGGATTTCGAAGCGTTTTTTTATCAGATTTCTTGGGCCATTAAACTAGTTAAAGATTTTGAAGCCTTTTTTTCATCATGTTTCTTGGGCCATTTCAAACTAGTAAAGATTTTGAAGCCCTTTTTTATGATGTTTCTTGGGCCATTTCATCCCAAAGTGATAATCTTAGCCCCATATACAGAAAATTTTGCATGGAGCAAAAAAAAAAAAACCTAAGAATGAAGCATAAAAACATTAAATGATGCTTGAATAATCAAGGCAACTTGTGAGCAACAACCACCAGAGAAAGTTACAAAAAGCAATAAAGTATGATTTTGCATATTTAATTACGTACCTATATATAATTGACTCAAAAGAATTCAGTACAATAATTCAAATTTTAGCTTCTAAGGAACCCATTGTGATGAATATAGAAACTTGCAAATTCTTTTGTATTGAATCCTGCAAGACAAAATTTCCAGCAATTAAGCTTCAAATGAGTAACTATTATGAAATATCAAATTTGCTGTTGAATAGTATAATCTTAAACAAATATTTATTTAGAATTGTTTAAAATTATTGGGAATATAGGTAATTCAATGATTAAGAAACTAAATTATACTTACCCAAAAGTGCCACGACCTATAGACTTGATACATTCATAATTTTCCATGTCTTGATATTCAGTGTTACTAAAGGGGAATTTTTGGAGCAAAAATTAGACCTTCTGTAAATTCTTTTCAAGCTTTATATAAAATATCATAACAGTGAGAGGATTCAGCTTAGCACAGTTCCTTGTATTAATTGTTTACAAGCAAGTTGCCTGCACAAAGTGCACTGTACTTATTTCATACGTACACACTTTGTTAGAATTGCCAAACCTGAATTCAATTCTAGCAAGCTTAAAAGATTTTGCAATATAAAAAGTTACTGTTGAGGACATATTCTGCAATAATTAGTAAAAATTAGTAAAGCAACAATGATCAGAAACAAAATGATAAAATTTCAGTTTAACAATACCAGTCAGTGATGCAACTTCAAAGCTACTAAATTCACCACCACAACCACAGCAGCCAGCAGGCAAGCATTTATGACACCAATTCAAAACCTAGCTACCATTAATGCTAATAATGTTGCCAGCCTTCAATATAAATGATATATTATATAAACAAAACTGAAATCACCTCCTTCCATTTGTATCTCTCTTGATTAACTATGTATCAGGTTGCCCATCTTACTGAATTTTTGTGCTTTCTAACACTTATTCATTATATTGAATCAAATCAATGGCTTACTAGACAAATTTGATTTCCGAAAGAAGAATGTGAGAAGGCTGAGATCTAACCCACATTGCTTGTGATAGCTGTGAAACATGGTACCACACCAAGTGCATTGGGATGCCCAACACACCTGGTGCTCAACCTGTACCACCATCGTTTCCAATCCCATGGCAATACATCATGCTCACCTACCTCTCAACTGCCTACAGTCCTACAGCAATCTCCTTACTCCCTTGAGATTCACATCCATCACCTAGTGAAGAAAACCTCTACTCTCTGAACCGTGACTGGATTTTTCAAGCCATGAATTATGGAATTTTCAAACCATAAGCCTATTTCCCAAGCTGTGAAAAGCCATTTCTGAACTGCAAACTCATGGTGGCAATGGCAAGTAAGCATATCACAAATAAGCTCTAATTTTGCCCTAGAAATAGCAGTTTAAAAAGTATTCCCTTCAACATAACGTTCTTGCAGCTGTTACAGTCATGGTGGAATTCCTGGAAATGGTTGGTCATTTAGCTCCAGCAGGACGACTGGAGCACTCCACTCTTGAAGATGGGGGAGGAGGGTGGTTGGGATTTGGGGTGCAATTTGACAGCCCTATAAGACTGGTAATTGTCAAGGAAATGCAGTGATCTGGGCACTGGAGCACTGTAGTGCACTTGTCTAAGGCATCCCGCTTCTTTTCCACCAACGCACTCCCTATTTTGGCTACCGTGCTCCTAAACTACATAGGTACATCATACATGGTCATTTAGAAGGCACTTAGTAGGTACTATGAAAACATGGTCACAGCTCACAGTCCTTGCTGCTGTCACAGTCACCATCATATATGTATACTGTCGACATATAATCCCCTATGATAAGACATGAGGGCTCTAGCTGTGAAAAATAGTGATCAAATTCTTGTGTGACATTTTTGTTGGGGTTATACAGATTTAATATTGAAAATGGCATATTGCTATTTTTCAATTTTTCAAGTAAATTTTTATACCACATACTTCCAAGAAGCCCTGGGGAAAAAGTTGCAAATCATGATCCAAGTAGGTTACATCGCTTCGAATAAGCACAGCAAGCCCTCCTCCAGCCTGTTGAGCATCTCTATGCTTATAGACAGCACTATAATTGATGAAGGTTGGCTCAAAGTTTGGTGAAAGCCATGTTTCAGAGAGACATACAATATGTGGTTTGATAGCTTATGTATGCAGTTTGAGGTTGCTAAGTTTATTTCCAAGACTATGACAATTCCACTAAAGCATCCTTATTTCTTTGTGGGAAGGCATTCTTTGGATTGGACAACTTTATGTTTTTCAGAGGGCAATGGGTGGCAGGTAATGTTAGATTGTCTTTTACTTTCACTCATCTTCTGGTTGCCAGTTAGTTTTGTTGTTTCCTGAGCTGCTTTCCTAGGGTTTCTCCTGATTATGGGAGATGGCTCAATAGAAGTTTCAATCATAGTGGTATCCGTGATCACATGGGACTCAGTTTCTTCAGATTCCTTTGCAGTACTTGATCTTACAGAAGTTTTGGCCATGGGGATAGGGGATGGGGGTAAGTCTGAGTTTGTTGACACTGTTGTGGGGTTAGGATGAGTGCTGCGGCTGCCAAGTTGTAGGGCCTCCTTAGTGAGGTCAGTGACTACTTTGGTGATGTCAATATTGTCAGTTTGGTACATAGGGCAATAATTTTTGACATTAGTTCAATAAATTTTGTTACAGTAAGTCCCTGCAAAGTGGGTGTAGAATTCTGGATTTAGGTTCCAATTGTCGCAGTTTGGGGAGTGTGGAATTGTTTAGGCTTTACTCTCTGAGCCCAGGTTCCCTGCTGGGATGAGGGAAAAGGCTGGTCAGATGGAGAGGTTGACTCAGTAGAGCGAGTTACTTAATCAAACTGAGACATGTTGCTGTTGGCTGACTGTTTCACTATTTTTACAGCTTCTCAATAGGAAACCTTGTTTTCAACTCTGATTCTTTCAACTGCCTTAGCCTCTTTCATGAAACTACATCCACCATAGCTGGCTGTATGTTGGCCTCCACAGTTACAGCAAAGTGGGCTGCCTTGGTGTCGGACTGTCGGTGAGTACAGTCTTTTACATTATGGGCACCAGAACAGACAACACAGCATGGGGGTTTTTTGCAACTGATTGCACTGTGACCAAAGTTTTGGCACTTGAAACACTGCCAAGGTTTGGCAATGTATGGGTTCCCTTGAAAACACTGGTATCCAAGGTTAAGAAAATTTGGTAAAGTACTTGAGTTAAAAGTTACTTAGAACATTGAGGTTGGAACCTTATCATTGCCTTTCAGAATTCTCTCTGCAGTGGAACCACCAAAGCCAGCCAATGCCAAAGCCTCTTCAAGATCCCCACCAGAGACATCACTACCTATTGGTCCAATCACTCCACTGGACTTTGTAAAGTTGATAGGAAGGCAGCCCTTTATTTTCCATGAGGCAAGGTGATTGACCTCCAGCAAAGAGGGGTAGAGGGCATCATGTCTCCAGACTCCAGGCTCTTTCTCAAGAGTAATGACAAGAATCTTCCAGCCAAGATTCTTGCTCATTCCAGCAATTCCTGCTCTGCCAAAGGCCCAAAGGGAGAGCTGGCTAAAGCCTAGCCCTAACTCAAGGTCAAATCATTGGAAAAGAATTTCTCAACTGGGCAGGTGTCAGCAACTGGTTCAATAATCACAACTTTGCTCTATCAGGCTCTATCTCAATCTCCTGGTTAGATCTCAGAGAGTCCCTTGCTCTATTCCCTGTACTGGTGGTAGCATGTTGCAGAGTAGGGGTTGGTGCAGTGGGATTTCATCTTCCAACATGTCTGAAGTCAAAGAGAGTGGTCTGAGCCATTGGCATGCAAAACCTTCAAAATTACTTTTCTTAGGGTAACAAGATTTTTTATTAGATGTAGGCTGCTCGGCACCTGGTGAGGCTGGTGCTGGTGGGCAACTCAATAAAGATGGGGGGTCAGGAGTCTCAGCCTCAGGAATGCAGTTTATGATACTGTTACTGGAATTGTTAGCGACCGGCAATGACTAATTTCAAAGGCGCAGAAGCAGGCAAAGGAGTAGCAGTAGGGCCAGCCTCAACGTCAGAGTCGGACATGGACGCGCCCCCAGCCCCACCCTTACGGGTGGCGGGTGGGCCTACGCCGCTTATGGCGCCGCCTCATTTTAATTTGGAGCTCGAGCTCTGAGGCTCAACTTCTCCTCCACTCACACGTGACTTACCTATTTATAATACTGATAACTTGATAAGTATATGTGAGATACGATTTTAGCTAATATCTTGGTGGACACAAATCTAGCTAGTTGATTGTTCAATGTTCATACTTCATACACACACGTCCGTAGTCGACCGCAGCTCGAACCGGAGTCTAGTGTCCACAAAGGCTCGAAGCTTTGTAATGCGGTGGCTAGCTAAAGGTGCTTGTACACAGGGATAGTGCAGACGGCTAGTAAATCTGGCTAGTGTTTGTCGCTTGGTGACTATCCGGCTAGTAAGCCTGTACACACGAGGAGAGTATAAGGTGCCGCTATCTTCTTGTTTGCGCCCGCCAGTGAGTCGTTAGAAGCCGTCGAGTGAGGTCTGTGAAGATGGATAGTGTGGGGTCTTTTTTATACTCCATATGTCTTTTACAATACGTCTTTTTCATACTCCATATTCTAGCCCTTAAATATACAGCGTCGGGAGCAATTAAACCCTGACTGATAAGGTCTTCTTTCCGTTTCAAAATACTCATTTCTCTCTTCATTTTGTTGGAGTAACCATCATGGAAAACATTATACTTTAATTCATATTTTTGGAATATTTCAAAGAATAATTGAATATCGTCTGGAATCCACTTTGTTGGATTCCTCTTAGAAACATCGTTCAAACAAGCCATGATTTACGTGACCCAAGATACTTCACAGGAGCGGCACAGATGCTCTCACCATAGCTGCATCAGCGCTACTAGCCACTTCTCCAGCCAAGATATCAACACATCGTTGTCTCTCTCGGCCGCGCCTCGGGCACTTGTCGGCGCATGCCTCTGAAGCGGCTGAACCCCTATACACGAGGCTAGTACCAGTTGCCCTAGACACAAACCTGGCGTCATCTTCTCTAATTACAGACCCATCACAGAAGGAGAACCTGGGCATTGTTGTGCAGTACAAAGTGAAGGTGAAGCTCACACTTGGAGCTCTAGCAGGGGACCTTGTTGCGGAGCTGCCGTTCACGCTTATGCACCCCAAGCCTGAGGAGGACGCGGACACCGTGCGGGGCGGCGCCTGTGGTGGCGACATCGCTGGGTCCACGCAGCCTTCAACTGCAGCCGACCTCGATCATCAGGACCCTGCTGTTGATACCAACCTTATACAGCNTTTTAAGTTGACTGGGCATTACAGAGGCTCTTATTCATTTGCAAGAATTAGGTGATGCTTGTCATGTTTAAGCTTGATTTTCAACCGCAACTTTGCAAAATTGAAGCTAAAATTAACAATTTAACCACGGAATTCCCACTCAAGTGAGAACTCAAGTTTTCTTCAACAGGATTGTCGGGCATAAGTTTTAGTATACAACTCCGTGCTAGGATATGAAAATTTTAAATATCTTAACAATTCCTGATCTTGGTCAATAGTTCGATCTGTTCTTCAGGATTAAAATCATTCTAATTGACC